AAAAGCAGTATTGCTGAAAAGCTCAAACAAGTTTGGGCTTTAGGTCAGCCAGTGCTCAGACAATGACTACACATGCTGCAGATCTACAAAATGCCTCCAACAGACTCAAGCCAGCCCACTGGGCAGTTGCTTGAAAGTTACATGTTTTCAAGGTTTAATCTGACTGTGTTCCAAGGTCTCTCCTCCAACTCACCACATGACTCTAGTGCCTCATTAAGCTGTAATATCATGTTCCCTCACACAATTTTAAGGAACTAAGGGGCATTCTAGGGTCAATAATCCTAATGATAACCCCTACTGAAGCCTTTTCATCTTAACCAAGTGAGAAGTTGACTATCCCACTTCTCTAAACCCAAAGCTTCTCTCTTTCAATAGTTCTTTTCTCTATAGCCATGCATGAAGTTCTGAGAAAACAGCACCAAGAAGCACATGAGGAGAGCAGAGGGCTCAAGAACTGGCTCTCCAGGTAACAATACTAAAATAAAAAGTAAATCAATGCAGCCAGACATTCACAGTTGTTCCTGCTGCATCCTACTCACTTGGGATCCTCTGTCCCTCAAAGTTTTAAAAATAATGATTTTACAAACTCTATTTTTCTTCCATGAAACAACAATAAGGAGCCAGCAGCCTTCCCCCAGACCTATTACATCTTTTCCTCTCCTGCTGATGTTTACTTCTGTTGTTCCTAACCTGAAGCATTAAGGTTCTACTAATGCAGTCATGGTCTTAAATTTTTTAAAGATTTGAAACAAAAACTATTATTGGAATAGATGACAGATATGTGCTCGTTACAGCAGCATCAGCTTAGTACTGTCATTCTTCCTACCACAGCTGGCAGCACACAACTCAATAGTCCTGTATTCCACTGCTGCTAGCATGCCCAAAGCTAATTCAGTGACATCTGAGGGGGAGTGTCCATCTACTGAAGGGTCAGGAGGCTCTGCAGAGGGATCTGGACAGGTTGGATCAATGGGCCAAGGTCAACTGGATGAGGTTTAACAAGGGCAAATGCTGGGTCCTACACTTGGGTCACAACAGCCCCAGGCAGTGTACAGGCTTGGGGAAGAGTGGCTGGAAAGTTGGCAGGGAGAGAAGGACCTGAGGGTGCTGGTGTTCAGCTGGCTGAACATGAGCCAGCAGTGTGCCCAGCTGGCCAAGAAGCCCAAGAGCATGTATTAAAAAGAGTGTGTCCAGGAGGATGAGGGAAGTGATCGTGCCCCTGGACTTGCCTCTGGTGAGGCCACAGCTGGAGGTTCACCTTGAAACCACCTGGGTTCAGGTTTGGGTGCCACAGTATAGGAAAGACCTTGAGGTGCTGGAACGGGTCCAGATGAGGGCAACAAAGTTGGTGAAGGGTCTAGAGAACACGTGGTATGAGGAGAGGCTGAGGGACCTGGGGCATGTCATATGAGGAGAGGCTGAGGGAACTGGGGGTGTTTGGTCTGGAGGAGAGGAGGATGAGGGGAGACTTTGTTGTAGCTCTACAACTCCCTGACAGGAGGTTGGAGTGAGGCTGGGGCTGGTCTCTTCTCCCAGGTAACTAGCAATAGGACAAGAGGGAATGGGCTCAAGTTATGTCAGGGGAGGGGTTGATTGGATGTTAGGAAGAATTTCTTTCCTGACAGAGTGGTGGCTGCCCAGGGAGGTGCTGGAGTCCCCATCCCTGCAGGGGTCCAAAAAACGTGCAGGCATGGTTTAGTGCTCATGGTGGTGTTGGGTTGATGGTCAGACCTGATGATCTTTGATGTCTTTTCCAACCTTAGTGATTCTATGATATCTGCACAAATCATTCAGTAGTTTCTATAAAATGATGCAACTTAAGTAGTGAATTGAATGGGGCTGTGTAATTTCCCCCGTGAATTAAACAAATTAGATCCTTTCTCTAGCTCAATTCTTTTCTTGTACTTACTGCAAATTAACTGTTGTCTTTTCCTTGGATGTGTACAGTAGTTTCAGAAGGATATCTAAAAGCCTGTTCCGCAGCAGAATAAGATTAGCTGAAACTAGTCCTCCAAAATCATCCTCTGTTCCTAAACACACACAGAAAAAAAGACAAAATTAAGCTTTTTGAACTCAGTCATTTTCAAGGCTATCCCTAAATTCCATACAGAAGCAAACACAGCCTGATCCCCCTGGTGCTGTGAGGAGGTTGTGCAGGCAGCCTGGCACACTCTCCTGGTGCCCCATCACCACTGCCACACAGGGTCTGGGCAGTGTGGAGAGTGGGTAAATGGGAATCACAGATTCCCAGACAATAACCTAAACTGAAATGGTCCAGGTTACCTGTGCCACTCCTGACAGTTAGATAACACAATCACTTGTGCCTGTGCACCAGCATGTTCCCAACAGATGTAGAATCACAGGATCTTTGGGCACTCCCTTCTAGTCACTTGGGTGACATCCACCATGGTTAAAACATTTCTGCTCAGGGAGACTGACTGAAAATGCAATTGCACAAGCCTTTTTTCTTTAGGAAAACAAGGGTAGAAACTGTCTCAGAACAATCCAATATAAGCATTCTTGAAAGACAGTAAAATTTCTTTCTTTTGCCTAAGAAAGTAATTAGGCTGTCTTAGTTAATTCTTTCCCTTCCTCCACACCTGGAGGGCAGATGCACCCAGAAATCCATTTTTGTCTTTCTTCTCTTGCACAAAGCAGCAGAGATGCAGAGCTGATTCAAAGGCAACAGAACAATACCCTGCAGTGTGAAATGAAGGGAAACAAGGAGGAGGAGTGGGTTCTGCACTGCCCTGCAGGCAATGCTGAAACTGAAGCACAACCAGCAGCCAGGTCACAATGAAACTGCAGCATTCCTCATGACACTATTCCTGCATTTTACAGATTAAAGCATAGAAGGGATCACAAAGTATTTCTCTCCTACTGGTTCTAAGCCATGCCATCACTTACCACTGTCCAGCTTCTCTTCATTGTTTATTTCCATGACTACAAACTTCTCACAGACTGCAAACGTGGGTAAAGTGGAGGAGATGAACTGCCCATACCTTGTGTGTGCAGAAAAAACAGCATTCACTGCTAAGACAGAGGCACTCTCATCTAGCACCTTAAATATAAAATCTTATCACTACTGAGAGGAAGATGCTCAAAAATCACCAACTTCCTCACATCTGAAGACTGAGGAAAACTGTCTCCATCTGAAGTTACTAACCAAAAAACAAATTAATGTGTAGTAATTAATGGAAACTTCCCAGACAAGTCTGCAGGTAAGGGCCCCTGGAAATGCTAGGATTCAAGAAAGGAAACTGGGAGATGCCATCAAGCCCTAGTAAAAGGAGCATCACAAGTTGAAGAAAAGAGAACAAATCATTATTCTCAAACCACAAGAACTGAACAAGTATTACCCCACTGCCAGAGATTACTCAGCCCTGGGGTAACACTGTGCCTGTAGCCCCAGGTGATGTAACACAAGGACGTGGTTTTCCAAGACAACACAGTGAGGTGCCACTCAAAGAAAAGGGGTGCAATATATTCCTCTTTCCTCTGGAACCAACCTGAAATGGTCCCTAGCTAGCATAGCTTTTCCTCAGTTTTTCATTTCTGTTTCCAGGAAAGAGAACAAGGAACACTCAGACAGGAATTCTACAATCACCTCTGTAACCATTTAAGCATAAAATCAACAGCTTTATCCTGGAATATTTTTTTTCCCCCTGTATAATTAAAACAACAACAGGTAAGACATTCAGATTGAGGCTTCTGATACTTTTGATTGTACTTAAAGTGAGAAGTTGATACAAGATCACTTGTATGGAAAAAGCCTCCCAAAAGTCCTGCAATATTTTATCCATTTCCAATATAATGAAGTAGAGATGAGAAAAACTATCAAGGAGTTGAATTCATATTAAAGTATTTCAGATACTCCTGTGTGGGTGAATTGTAATTATTTATGTAACTTTCACCAGTCAAAACTAATAGCACTATACCTGACTGTCTTAAATAGAAACTTTTTTTTTTTACACAGTGATGATTAAGAAAAAAAAATGTTGAACTAAATCTTTCATGTAGGAGAGCAATAAAGCTCCATTACAAACCAGAAGTACTGTTGTACTCCACCTCAGGTAATATTCCACAGTATTTAATAAAAGTGCTCAGTGCTTCACATGAACAAGGGGGCTGAAAAACATCACCTTTGCTTCTTGCCTGCAGAACACTGAGCCAATTTAATCCTTCAGCCATAGCTGGCTAGATACAAACTGAATTTAATATGCAAATCAAAGCATTGACAACATCATTGCTTCTGTCTAGTTCAGGATGTGAGCATCTCATGTCAGCCACCCCACAGCAGTGTGACCATCAGGCAGTTTTGACCAAGAACACCAACATAATAAAATCAAGACACCCAGAATGATCAGAGGTGTGGGCTACCTGAGCAAGTCATAGCTGCTAGGGAAACCCTGAAGCAAAAAGCTCAGCACGTTGCTAATGGCAGCAATAGTGGGCTGGGACAGAGACATGTCTCGAAGGGTCAAGAGCAGCCTTGGGATGAGCTGGAACTCCCTCATCAACTTCGCGTTCTTCGCTGCCTCACTGCAAGGAGGAAAGGAAGAAGGAGGCAGTTTAGAACTGGAGCATCCTCTACCTACTGTCTCATTCTTTAAGTGTCAGTTCTAGGCTGGCAGCAGCTCATACCTTGACTCAGTGAGAAGTTCAATGAAGTGTTCAAATAGTGACAGATGAAGCTCATAGGGTGCATGAAGCCAGACCTGAAATACAGGATAAACAGTAGCATGTTTTGTAACAAATCCACTTTAGCATTAAAAACTGACATTAAGATACCAAAGGTTATGAAGGGCTTGAAAAGATTAAAACTGTTCATCTGTGTGATTATTTACTTGGCCATTGCCAAAGCTGACTGCAAGATTCTCAGCTGCTGATTCCTCCACTTCAGATAAGTACAAAACATACTAGCAAAGACTAAAGAAATGCATATTGGTGCTAAACATATTCTCTGCAAGTATATCATGCTGCAAACTTTAAAGAGTTCTAGGCAGACAGTTGCACACTATCTGGAACTGCTCTTTAAACAGAGGGTGCAGTGACTCTGAAGGAGTTATTGGGTCTTACAAGGCTGATAGGGACTGTGAGGTTTATCTGGCTCAAGTGAAGATTAGTATCTTCACCCAAGAGAAACTCAAGGTCTTCCCTGACTTTCCCCCCCTCCCCATTTTTACACAGCAGACAGCTTAAAATCATTTAGATCCTCTTAAAAAAGAAAAAAAAATGAATCAGTTGTTCAATCAATAGAAGTAATAAAAGATATAAAAGCCAGAGAGCTCACAGTTCTAGCTGCAAATCTTAAAAATTGACTTGCTATTGAACAAAGCATAATGAATACTTGCACTCCCATGTATAAAACTGGCTTGAACAGCTCCCCAGCTTTTGCTTTTCTTCTAATCTTATAATCTAAAATGACCAGAACAAATCCTTTCATTTCCCTGTTTAACGTAAGAGTAAGATACCTAATTTATCCAACCTAAGTCAAATATCTGGGTCATGGATTTCTGAATACAAAACCAAGATATTTATTTTTTTAACAAAGCCAAAACCTGAAGCTTTTGGAAATTTTCTTCTTAGTGACTTACAGACCTAGTACTTCCACATTTACAAATATTATTTAGTCTTCCAAGTGTATTTGTTCTGCAGCTGTTCTTGGTCTTCAAGGGAAAAAAAACAAATAGACCAACTGAACATTATGAAGTAGGATCTTTTGTATCATAGTTGCTGTCTGATTAACCATAGACCATTGATGAAATTTCTCATCTGATTCCTCTGAGGGGAGGAGGGGAGAGAAGAAGACAAAAAACAAAGAGAAGAGCGTTTTTCAGCAGAATTCATGCCTCACTGTAAAAGGAGCTCTTCTCACTAATGAACAGTTCATGTATCTTAAGACCTCTATGCCAAATATACCTCTTGTAGATGTAATAACTTCTGTTAAGCCTATAGTTAATTTTGTGAGCACAAAGGAAGCATTATTGTAATTTAAAAGGTTTGTTAAAGAATAACTAGTCACATGATACTGCAGAATGTGTCTTCAGACAGGGCACAAACTTATTTCTAGTTTTAACATTATGCCTCAAAAATTTAAAAATCAAAAAAGGGGAAAGTTTGGATGGGTGACAAATTTCCCTTCTATTAGAACTGAGTTTAAATTAAAAAAGGAAAAAAAAAAACCCAAGAGGCTCAGGTCTGCCTTTTACATTTCTTTCTCTGTGCTGTAATTTTAGCATATTGTTGCTCTTGGCAAGGGGTGGGGGATTTTGGGTGCATGGAAGACCTTTAAGCACTGAAAAACCCCAAAATTAACAAGGCCAGTTGATTTAATTAAAATAAAGGCTATAGTAAGCAGCAGGAGGTGTTTTCCACAGAGCAAACCCTTAAATAAAGTTTCCAGGAGTGCTCTGAAATACTCAGATAGACATCTAAAAAAAGGCATGGATAACTCCATAAAGCCATTTGTGCACAAGAGACTTGTTTTATTCAGCAAGTATCTTATGGATGGAATAGTAATGGTAGTCATATTATTTATTTCTTTACATATTTATTTTAGTATATGTGAATCAGAATACTCTTCCTCAGTCTGTGCCAAGTAGAGATAAGCTCAAAGGAGCAACTGCTAAATGATGAGTTCTGTGCATTGTTTACCAGCCTTTATTACATCAGCATTCCCCTCTGAAATTCTCTGTTTTCCTTAGTTTAATACAACACCACTTAATTATTTCTTAGGTTCTACAAGCAGAATTTTAACTGCCTTAACCCTGATTTTGTAAGTTACAAGAAATTGCTGAACAGAAAACTGCAGAACTATCTTCTAGGACAAGAAAAAGCAGAAACATCTGTGGTACCTATTTATTGTGCCCACAGTGACTCAGATCATCTAAGCAGGAAAAGTTACCAGCAATCTTGCTGCCCAGCTGCTTCATTGCACTAAATAAGAAGCAGTAAGTGCTCAGGAGAACAACCTAGCTTGCTGTCATTCAATATTTAAGGTACACTATCAGCATCTGACCTAATCACCACCCAGCACAATCCCTGTTTTTCTCTGCAGCTTTACATACTTCAAAATCACAGAGCAGATCCTGGAAGGCAGCAGAATTTGGAATAATGGATGTCTCGTGCCCACTGTCAACAGTCCCCACCAGGGAGAAGGTCAGGTGCAGTATGTGGCTGTTCAGGAGGGTTCGTTTCTTCTTTAACAGCATTGCCAGCAACTGGAACAAGCAAACAGAAAAGGGATCAGCAGCCTAGGAACAAACAGAAACCTTGTCTAAGCACAAGCATGGATGGATGGAATGTCTGTCCCTTTTGAGAAGGCCCATAAGGTATGTCTCATAGTTGGTACTCTTGATGGAAAAGCTTGAAAGTGACATTCTGGCTGATTAGAAAAGGGGCACATCCAGGACACCCCCCAGTTCATGAAGCATCTGCTGTACAGTGCAGACAGCCTCTGGGCCCTGAGCATTAGGCACACACAGACAAAGTCCCAGCTCCCAGTCTCAGCTCCCTGGTAGTGCCACCCCAACACAGCACATTATGCACTCTCAGACAGCTGTATTCCTGGACAGCAGCTGTGGCCAAGGCAGACATAAATAGAGCACTCCTAGAGTACTGCATGCACAAATGAGAGGTGTTCTGGCACTGAAGAGAAGTAGCCATGACAACATAAATCTGAAAGAGCCTGACATTCCTCTTGCTACCTTTGTTGCCCTAGGCATGACCATAGATCTTTCAGTCCTCAATTCTGCTCTAACTTCTTATAATCTGGGTTGGGAAAGAACCAATTGCCAGAAGTACTACTACTATTTCTTGTCTTCAGATGCAAGCTTGCTAAACTCTCCACATAACCAGCCTGTTCAGCCTCCCCACCCTCCCTGAAACATTCCTAAAGAAATATAGATTCCTGGGAATCTCTCCCAGACTGCCACTTGCTGAGGTCAGTACAAGTAAAATGTAAGGCTGTATCTGATGATCCACTGATTGCTTATGGTGCAAGGAGGACACTGTCTAGACTTGTTCAGCCAAAGTAACCCAAGGTCTGCAGCAGCTACACAGAATAATGTTTTGACCTAACTGTGCTAACCACTGGCATGGCAAGGTTTGTAAACATGCTGCTCAAACCACAGCACAAACTTCCTGTTTTGGTAAAGCAGTCTTCATGGGCAATGTCAAATGAATTTGTTATATGAAGATCTTTTCAAGTCAGTCAACCAGTCCTTCTTTGTAACTGATTGTACCAAACAGCATCACTACCTACAAAGTCTGCACAGTCTACTCAAAGTGATGATTCTAGAAGTCCACTTGCTTGGTTTTCTTCCTGTCTCCCTATCCTCCTCTCTTGCTGGCAGACTGCAGAGACAGAGGCCTCTACACTTGCAGGGATGGGTTCACAGTCATGGGAGAAGACTCATGGAAGTGCCACAGTTGTGCTCCTCCTTGCTACCAACAAAGGCTCAGCTTCAGCAAAGAGCTAAACGTGCAAACTGCTTAGGAAAACTTTCCACTTCCTCCTTTAAATGCCACCCTAAGTAACTCACCCACGCTAATTAGCCAAGAGCTCAGTGAAGTTAAGAGGAGAAACTCAGGTTACCACAACACAATGAGGAATTCCCATGGGAACTGCTAGGACAGAGGGAAATTCCACCAGCTTGGTCTGTTTGAAGCCATTTCTCATGTACCTGATAACCTCTGATCCTCTCCATTTCTTTGCTGGCCAGTGGGTTGCTCTTCACCACACAGACCAAGGCCTTCACAGCAGCATACAACCCTTCCACATCTGATGCCATGGCTACAAGTCCCAGAATAGCAGCAGCTCCACCAATGTACTGCAGTGTGGTGGCAACAGGCTTGGGGACAAACGTTCTTACTCCTGAGCACAGACAGAGAAAATACATGAAATTAAAATCTAATTCTTGAAGGAAACCACTGTGAATACAGGTAAGTAATTTGCATTCTAGCGTTGCTTGAATTATGAAAAGAATATCACTAGAAGAATTCTGACACCTCAGAAGAAGAGGTGAAGGAAATATTGCACTGGAAAATAGTTATGACCTAAGGTAAAGTAATTAAGTATATTTTCAGGATAATTCACATTAACTGAAACAAGCATCCCATGTTAATAAAAAGAGAAAAGGAGATTATAGTATGTCTATAAAAGACAAAATGTGAAGCACATTTTAAAAGGTATAATTAACATCCATCAATTACATGATTTACCTTCTACATTTAAGTTCTATTGACAAGTAATTAATAATTGTTAAACACAGCAGTTCTCAAGCACTCACCCAGGTAGCCTATGACAGCTGCCCCAATGGAGCGTGCTGGTCCATTCAGATGCCCTGCTGAGTTGTGCAGCAGCTTCACAGGGGTGGCATTCTCATGAGAAGAAATTGCCAGCTGAACAAATCAAGAAAAAAAGCAGGGACTAAAGGGGAGAGGGTTGTTTTTTTGCAAGCCTGACCATAACCTGTGTATTTTCCTTCCACGATAAAGAGCAACACATAACAAAGCAGAACTATACTAGAGCCACAAAGACATTCTCTAAAGTAAAGAGAAATCTCCAGTCTCCAAAGTTTCAGGAAGATGACTCTAACTTTAAAAATAATCCCACTGGATCACAGAATGATGTGGGTTGAAAGGGACCTTTAGAGGTCATCTAGTGCAGTTCCTGCCCTGTGGGCAGGGGCATTTTCCACTAAACTGAGTTGCTCAAAGCACCATCCAGCCTGACCCCAACACTTCTGGGAATGGGGCAATCACTTTGCTTCCCTAGGCAACCTCTTCCAATGCCTCACCACCCTCAACATAAAAAGTTTCATCCTTATGCCCAATATAAACCCACATTCTTTCAGTTTAAAACTGTTTTCCTTTGTCCTGTCCCTGCACACCCTGGTAAAAAGTCTCTCTCTGTCATTCTCACACAAAACTCCCCAAGTGTACTGGAAAAATAAGGTCTCCTCAAAGCCTTCTCTTTTCCAGGCTGATCAACCCCACCCATCTCAGCCTCATCATTCACCTTTACTGTACTTTGAAGAAAATTTTAACCCAATATTCTGTTTTCCAAGCCTGAATGACAGCCAGAGGACTAAGCTATCAGCTTTGTTCACCTGCAACAGCAGAAATACTGTTCAGTGGCATAATCTATCTGTTTTTCAACAGGATTACAACTGCCACCTACATGAACAAGCCAAAGTACTTCCAAAAGCTGCTAAGATACACAGCTACCAGTAATTTAAGGAATTTAATTAAGGAGTGCAGTCTCCCTTCTTTTTTTTTTCTAAACATAAAAATGACTATGGGCAGCTCTTCTGACAAGGACATTATTGTTCCTGGTTGCTTTGAGCAAATTGCCTTGAAAGGAGTTCAAAGAAAGAAACCAGCAGGCAGCACACACTAACCAGCTCACTCCCCAACGTACCTGTTTGGCAATTGCTTTACTATCCAATTTGTTGTAAATTTTCCTTATTTTTGCCACTGTAAATGAAGAAACTGACAGTGCATAGAGACCAAAAGAGACCTTCTCTTCTGGTACCAAAGATACTGGAGATGGGTTGATTCCTTCAGACTTTGAATCTTTGCCTTAAAGACAAAACAAATGTTCATTTCAGTAAAATTTCACTGGTTTTCTTTTCAGTTTCAAGAGTAACATCTTAAGCAAACTCTACTGCAGACTAGGTAGAGAAGAAAGGTTTAACCAACAGCTGAGATGTTGTACTGTCTTTGCATAGTTGCTTGCTGTACCTAAGAGTAGTTTGATGCCATACAAGTCGTGGAATAAATCTGCTATTTAAGATAAAAGGGCAACACACAGCAAACATTTCCCTTCAGTCAGACCTACAATGTTAACCTGTAATGGCAACAGGCAGCCCCTGGCTTGGCCAGGCAGAAGAAGATGTGGTGCTTCCTCAGGTGAATTTTTGGAAGGCAACATTGGTCTTGTGCTCAACTGACATACAGCCCAAGGGCTGTTTGTTCACTTCCCTTCTCACGTGAGGGAAACAAAGTAATCAAAATCCAGAAGTATTTGGTACATTCTGCCTCTGCCTGGCTTCTCACAATGGTTTGTTAGGAAAACCTATCACCTTAGAGAACAGCACAGGAGAGGAAAGACTAAAGAGCAAATACTGTACCTGCACTATTTGCACCCACTGCTCTGGAAGCAGCCACCTCTTGTTAAGAGCTTTAATTCTTGGAAGTGAATGAACAGACTCACATTCACAGAATTTGCTTTGGCTAATTAAGTACTTAAAACCTGCATGCCACCAGTCAAAACACCTTCCAGAAGGAAAAAAAACCAACTGGCTAGCAGGTATCTAAATCCAGAGCTGCTTGTCAGGCTTGCCTAACTCTCAAAAAAACAAGTGGGACACATCTGTACACTGCAAAATTTAACTCCCTAAAGTTTTTCATCAAGATGGGCAAGGAAAGCTACCTCTTTCTTGATGTAACTTTGTTCTTTCACAGCCCAAATATCATCTACAGCTGAGGGGTTAGGGAAAGCTTTCACCATGAGAAGTGAGACTCTGTGCACTCCCTGTATAGCCTTTTGTTTCCCTACCACTCCCATCACTCACTGCCTCCTTCCTTGAGATGGTGATGGATCCTCTCCAGAAGAGCTGGAGAGCACCATGGTCCCTCTGGGGAAAGACAATCCAGGGGCAAGATGACCAAGGTGACTTGATACTTTCCCCACTTTTGTTTATGCTTCAGTGAGAAGCCCTGTGACAGGCAGGTAAAGCACAGAGCATCTCCTGGCAGCATCCTGATGCTAGTGAGGAGGCACTCGCAGCACAGGAACACAGGGAGCTCTACAAAGCAGGAAAATCTCACTAGTGACAGTAGTACCAGAGCTAAGGAAGAGTCTGTTGCCTGAATATTTAAAAGCAGGGCTGTGCACATGCATTTCTAACAAGGTTATTCAGCTCTTTCTGCATTGCTCTCCTCTCAATTTCAAACAAGACCACTCAAAAAATACAATAGAAGGGCCCATATTTGTTCACAACTAATGCTTGAAGACTCTCTACTGCACCATAATCCCTGCCTGTTTGATTTTTTAAACTCTGTTGACCTATTTAGGCCCCATAAACAATGACATTTCAAGGGAGCTGTGTTTAAAGTACAGAATACACTGCAGACTTACAATGAATGCTATCACTGGAGACTGATATGTTAAAATGCCTTTCCAATTTCACTTTCTGCAGCTAAATATAATATACAGTATGAACAATGACAGCTTCAAGCATTTCTAGCTGGTTTGAAACTCAAGTGATGAACACAAGCACTTCTATCTCAGCACTAGAACATGTTAAAGCAGTACTTTAGATTTCTATCATCCTCTTCAACAGCCACTCCCCTTCTCCCTACACAGCTGCAGCTTCTCCTCTCTGCTGCCACACGCTCTCCTGTCTCCCCTCTCTCCCCACACCCAGCCCCTGCTGAGCTGTACTTACAGGGGACGTACACGGCCTGGAAGCTGCCCACGTAGTTGGGCCCCAGCTCGTAGATGGTGCTGACCCCTGGGGCAGGCAGAACCTCCTCCAGCAGGTGAGTGGGGCCCAGGCGCCAGAGCAGGGCGGAGGGCTGGCGCTGGGCGGGCGGCGTGCCCACGTAGGCGTACACCGTGCTGACCACGGGGGGGTTGGCAGAGCCAGACCCACTGGGGCTGCTGTGCACGTAGTGGAGCTGCAAGGGACAGAGAGAAACCCTGGTGACGTGGCCGAGAGAGCTGCCTGCTGGGAGAGGAAAGGAGGCAGGGCAGAAATTCGGGCGAACGCCTCGCCAAGCAGGGGACGTACCAAGCGGCTGCCACGGCACGCCTGGCACCCTGATGCCACACAGCACCAGAGAGGGAAGAGCACGAAGCAGAGGGTAAGTGCACAGGTCAGAGGTTCAGTGGCTTTGGAAAGAGGAAGGGGTGTATGGAAACACAGGAGGAGAACATGCCAGTTCTGTGCTTAAAGCGCTGAAGGCTGAGCCTGGGTCTCGATTCTAACGCACAGTGCTCCAGGGCAGCCACTGCTGCAAATGCACTATGTCTGTGGCCATTATGGTTTGGAAAAGCAATAAGAGGATCTCATCAACTTGTGTTCTTTCTCCTTTTCCAGTCAGTGGAAACATGCCTTTAGTAATTACACTGTTCCAAGCTGAAGTGCAAACACAACGAGCTCAATTTGATAAGAATTCCAGACAGCAATAAAACAAATACACAAGTAAGATGCTGGCCCATACACAATGACAATAACATCTCACAGGCATTTTCTATCTACCTGGTAAAAATTCTGTTACCAGCTATTGAATGTAGTCAGGTATGGCCAGATAGCTATTAGCATAACAAGTGAAGTTACTACAGTCCTCTTTCTGCAAAAGGAATGCTGAAAGGTCAACTTTGTGTTCAGTGGACAGGTTCACAGAGCTCTTCACTGCTCTTTGCTTTTGGCCTCCTAGTTTCTTCCACCTAACAATAAAATAGCAACCTTTACAACTAAATGTGTTCCATCTACAGCCAACTAATAACAATCTCTGTGGCTATCAGTGACAAGGGGATTCCATTTCTGGGTTGCCAAAAGGGTTGGGAAAGGAACAACCTGAATAAATTGCCAGAGCTGTCTTACTCTGTAACCTCCCTATTATTCAAAGTTAGATCTGCTACGTGGTCCTGGGATAACTCTTCAGCTTTTCATGACCTTTCTAACTAACCTGGTCAGCAGCACAGCCACACCACACTTGCCTTACATTCAACACACCCACTTCACTTCATCACTGCTATTGCTCGTGGCTGAGGAGTGTCTGTTACCTTCTCCTCTCAACAGGCCCAGGGCTGCTCCAAGCTGTGCAGTGAGCAGAGACTCCCCTTTTTCAAAGCTCCTCATTTTGAGGTGTTTTTTTGGTGTGTCTTTTTTTTGGTGGTGTTGTGGTTTTTGGTTGGTGGGTTGGGTTTTTCCCCCCAAGGGGAGGGGGCAGGAGGAGTGGGCTGGTTTGCTTTGTCCTCGTTTTGTGTGGGTTTTTGCACAGAGATGCGCAAAGAGGCAGGAGTCACTCCAGCAAGCAAAAATGAGGATTTAAAGATTTATTTTACCTTAACAGTGTTAACAAGCTGTCCGTCAAGGTAGAGTGCAGCTGTGCTGTTCTTCAGCATGCCTTTACTCATGACCAGAACGAGGTGATGCCACTGGCCTTCCACAATGAGGTCACCACAGCGGAAACGGGCACAACAGGGCAGGATTTCGTAAAACGAGGATTCCTCACTGAAGTCATCAACTAAAGGAAAGGTACCAGTGAATGGACATCAGCTTAAAACATATGATTATGTCATTAGGCTTCATGCAAAACAAGCTACAGGAATACATTAAAGTCAATTTTTTAGAAAGCACAGTTAACAAAAATCCAACTAAGAAGATATGAGGAAAGTTATATAACTAACAAGAATGACTTTACTATAAAATACAAGACCTGGAAGAATGAAATCAGAATTTTGGAGAAAATATTCACATTGTCACAGTTTACCAGGCTGAGCATCCTTAAATACTTGCATATTAACAAACTAGTATGGTTTTGGTAGTATCACCAGCAGGTCTCTTCTTCCTTTGCTTTAATTGTTCTCTAAGAACATTTTGAGGATGCTTTTAGTCTTTTGACAATTATATTTTGTTTCTGCCCTTCTACCTCCCCTTGGAAATTTTAGCTGGGATGACTAGTTCAAGTGGGACTTGTTCAAGTTTCTACTAACTTTGTCATGCCACTATGCAAGTCACAGAATGATCTTCTGTGTTTTTATTAAAAAAGTTTTTACAGCAGTAGTCAGCGAGGAATAGCAGATGTCTCTCCAAACCCACAGAGCTATTTTTCACTTCTCTCTCACTGTGAAGAGAAGGATACCTGTACTTCCCAAACTTTCTCCTCACACTTTTCCCTGCTCCACTGTGGTCTCCTGCACTGGCCCTGCTACCTGTTCTCACCCCCCAGCACCTGGCCACAGGCACTCAGTACAAGCTTGCCATTACCTTACTTTAACAACTCCAGCACACACAAAGACACAAGTAAAAAGATTGTCTCCTCTCAAAGCATCTGCACGAGCATCATGCTAAACTACAAAGATAAGAGAAGTTAAAGATGAGGTTGAAAGCCTGAGACTTTACTTCTGTAAGAAAATCCATAAACAAGCTCTGGCTGTAGTGACCAGGGGTACTTGTAACTCAGGGCTCAGCACAGTGGCTTCTCTTCTTCCCCTTTTGCAGTTCTCCCACCTATACTCTTCAAGCACTTCCCAGGTCCTTCTTCACTAGTGGGTGCCAAATTCTCTTCTATATGTTGAAATACATTACTTCTCAGCACACAGCTTTAAAACTACTTTAAAATGCATCCACTGGCTTACACACCAGAAGGCATGATCAAGTGCATTAAGTTCCCCATCACAAAGCAGGATGACCCACACTCTGCTTGAAATCCTGTCCCCATCCCCTCCCCCTAGCAAAAAAAATAAAGAAGAAAAGACAAAGCTCCAAAACCCTCCACCAGGGAAGGCTTCAGCAGAAAGCAGGAGCTTTTCAGATCTCTCTTAATTCTTTTGCATCGAAGGAAACCACTAATCCTCTTACCTCAAGAGCTGCCTGCACAGGGAGAACACTCATTTCTTTAGAAACAGCACAGGGAAAATGATAGAAGCAGAGTACTTGGAACGAATTTTCAGATACAAAAATAATCTCCAGTTATTCTTCTCAGCCAAACACCTTTGAGCAAAACTCTGGCTCACCAGACAGATCCTTAAAGCAGCCCATTCACTCTGACAATACCCTGTGAGCACAAGGAGCCCCCACGCTGGCAGGCCTGCCCCTCAGCTCTCCAGGGACTTACCTGCTGGGCACTCGATGGTACCCCAGCAGCCAGGACTTACTCATGGCAGGGTGGCACCTCCCATTCAGTCAAACAACAGTCTTTGCAGTCAGAGACCTTTGGATTTCTCTGACAAAGCCTCTTCAAACCCAATCTCTTTAAAAGAGATAGATAATAGGGGCTTATAAAATAAAGACAGAGATCTACAGCTCCAGTGTAGGCAAAAGCAATTAATATGAAGATAAACTTGTTTAATCCTCTCTTCTAAGAATTTGGTCTTCTGAGAAAGGAAACACTGTTGGTATCTGTGTAATTTAAGAGGTTTAATTCCTGCCTTGTACTATGGGACTTCAGTTCTCAAGTTCTAGGTTTTGAAACCAATTTCTACTAAGAGAAACTGCTGCAGTTAATGATGCCAACGTCCACTTGTCATGGAAATAAGAAATAGCCTGTAACAGTCTGCTTCACTGCTTTGTTTTTGTTGTGGGTTGGGTTTTTTTTATTATTTTAAATAGAAGCAGTTATATAAATTCTTTTACTATTGCCTGCTACTCAAAAAGAAAAAACAGAAGCAGGAACAGATTTTTGACCATCACTTGTAATTCTGTGTGCTGCTCTGGTGAAGAGCTAAGCCAGGAACATACACTCACCTCAGCTCCTCCACAGCCACAGTGCATGAACAGCCTGCCAAAACTGCCCTTTTCTGCAGGCTGACAGAGCCCAAGGCAGGAGACAGCAGACAGTTAAGCCTGAAGCCCTCAACCACACAAATTCACTATCCTCACCAGCTTCACTTAGCTCTTCACTGCACCTCTTGTAATTCCACCTTTGATCACAGATACTGAATGAAGCTAGAAATTCTTTCTGGAAAGTGATCACAGCACTAAAACACGAAGTGAGTGACTCATCACCCTTGGGTAGCTTTCCAGTGCTGGGACTACCCAGACTGAACAAGTCTTCAAAACCTGTTAGTATGCTATTTCCAAACTTCTTCAAAGCAAAGGCAGCTAGCATTTGCACCTCAGAGACGGTGACTGAAACGAACAACACAAGACAAACAAAAGGCAAACCCCTTCCAAAACAAGCCACCTAACACCCCCTCAAGTCTACAATACTTCAGCCTCTGGCAACAAATTTTTCTTTATCAGCAGATAGCGAAACTTGTTTGAAATTATAAAAGCTCCTTAATATCTGCATGAACCTTCACACCAGGATGAGGTGGCGACCAGGGCCCACCCTCACCATAGTTCTGGAGCAGCTCCTCCTTGGTGGAGACGACGAGGGAGCGGTCCCTGGCCGAGAGCACGAGGGCCAGGCAGACGTAGTGCTGCTCCGAGGAGGTCGCGCGCCGCACCACGGTGAGCAGCCGCACGGGGTGGCTGTGGGGAGGGGAACTGAAGTGTTCAATGCAAAACCACGTCGAGTAGCTCAAACCAGATGGTGGTGGGAAAAATCTTTCACCTGGAAACAAAGAAAAGCCCATTCTTTAGCTGCAGGAGTGGTAATAATTAGGATACCTACTTGCTCCTATTATTTTTTCGGATCAGCTCAGCCGATACCAGTTGTGCTGATACCAGTTGTGCTGTCTCAGAGCTTTCCTTTACAGACTGCAGTGTTACTGCTTTCATTTCTGACTCAGGCTTGGAGGAAAAGCCAAAGTCAGCTCAGAGGGGTTTCTTTTGAAACAAAGTAAAGCAAGAGTTGCACACTATTCCCTGCTGTTCTAAACAAAAAAAACCAGCGGTGAAGTTGTGCTTGTTCAGAGCAACCCAGTTTCAGTTCCCTAGACAAAAAAATGTGGGAATGGATCAGGCCCTCAGAAACTGCTAATATCTTAAGGGGCTGCTGCTCCCATAGGTGTCACATGATGAAGAAGCCTTTGCTGAAGAAGATCTCTCCACCACATGCACCTGACTCCATCTCCTGGGCTGCTCTCACAGAACAAGGAGCTCACAGACTTCCAGCACTGTCTAACACTAATTCAGTCTTGCTGCAGTAAACTTCAACTTGGTTTGAAGAGGTAACACCTTTTTTTAACTAAATGATCATGTTCAATTAGCCCTGCAGCACACCAGGTTCCAGTAGGGTGAAAAAGCACAAGGGAGAGCAAACAATTTAGATGGGATTCCTGTGATGATGTAACTACACCTGTAATAAAATCACTCAGGAATTCAGCAGAATAAAGCCACAAGTACAGCATTACAATTCAGTCCATGCTTCCTATGCTTATCATACTACTACCTCAAGTTGCTCTTAATGGGTCCAGGTTACTTTTTCATACACTTCTCCTGATTATAATTTAATCTTCCACTGAAAGCCTTGTATCTTAAAGTAATCACATATTTGTATTTTATACCGATTTTCATTGACTTGGGGGAAAAAGCAACAGAAACACAGCATCCCAGCACAGTGTCCCACACAGTCCTATCACTTCATGGCTAACAGGGAAATGTAAGAGAACTAAATATCAGACAAAACACTGCTGACAGCCACCCTCAAGTACCTACCAGTTCCAATTCCACTGACAACTGCACCATCGACAAGTCCTGTTGTGACAGCGTTACTTCATGGAAATGTAAGAGAACTAAATACCAGACACAAAACACTGCTGACAGCCATCCCCAAGTACCTACCAGTTCCAATTCCACTGACAACTGCACCATCGACAAGTCCTGTTGTGACAGCGTTGTTGGTGGGTGCATTGTGGGGAGCCAGACTGGGCAAGAAGAGGCAGCTGTTAAACAAAAGACACACTATGAAAGTCAATCTAACCAGAGTTCAAAACAAAATATAGCCTAAGAAAATATACCATAAGCACATTATCACTCTCCTTGACTGTAAGTGTTCCTGAAAAGCAGAAATGGATTCTCAAGATCTCTCCCTGTGAGGCTAAATTATCTCCAGTGCAAAGAGCTTTGGCAGCATGGCTTTGATGCAAAGGCAGAGACTTGTGCCCCTGTGGCTCCACAGCATGAGATGTTCCCTTGTGGGCAACAACACTCTGCTGCAGCCTTTTGAGACATTCTGGACTCTCAAAGAGACTGAAGTAGTTAACTATTCAAAGGATCTGGTAATTTTCTACTGTGGTGTTCTCATTTTAAGTAAGTATGCTCTTACAGTAATGTCCCTTTTCACCAAATTAGCTGTGTTTGGGCCTGACAAGTCACTGAGGCTGTGGACACAACAGAAACAAACATAAGGGAGTAACTCCCTTAGGTACTACAAGATTTTTAAGAGCCCATGTGGATTCAGTGACCAGCCTACTGGAGGTGGAGTGAACCCCCACAGTTCAGCTTCCAGCTGGTACAGACTGTCCTACTGGGGGCAGAATGACAGCTGGAGAATGATCATTTGTTGACATTCACACTCGAGCAGGCTAGGCTGAGACTATTGAGGCTGAGCTGACTGACAGAGCCAGGGGTTCTCTTGCTCTTACCTAAGCTATAAAGAGTTAGCTTTAAAAGTTAACTACCACCCATCTTGAAAGCAACAGCAGTGCATGGCTCTGGTCACTGCTACCTTACTCTGATTACAGCTCTCCTTACAGACTTCTTCCTCTCTACTGAAAAGAGCTTTCTCTGGGTGAATCCCCCATGGTCAGTGGTGTTAGGAGCATGCTGTCTCCAGGCAGACAACCTGCAAGGCTCCACCAACTGCTGAATTCATTGAATACCCTGGCACTTTAAAACAGACCATAAAGTTTTAACAGTTTTTTGTTTTAATTGAGTATAGCAGCCTTCTTAGGTGGCTCGTTGAAATTACAAGAAGTCAAGAAGTCACAGCTGCATTATGTGGGTTACTTTTGGACGTGTTATCAGCACCTACAACTCTCCTGGAGCAAGCAGAGTGACAATTCATTTTGCAGGCCTCTCTGAAGTTCTTCTTGGGTCCAAAACATTTTCTTTCCTCCTATGAAGCATGCACAAGAGAGTTTTGAGCAGCATTTCTCAGTCCTTGACTAGACTGGGTATATTGCTAGATGCAAAACGGGCACTGCACTCCTGCTTCACAAGGCTGGAGAGAATGCAGAGCAGCAGAGCTCCCAAACATGCAGGCTGGACTTGGCTCTCAGAGCAGTCAGCCCAAATAAACTGGAACAAGTGGCTCTGCTGAAAGCCACCTCAGAACAGAAATAGATTTAAAACATGCAGCAGTATAAATATTGGGTCTGGAAGGAAAAAGACAAGATGAATGATTCTGTCAAGTGGGGCTGTTTCTGGTTTTATGGAATCGTGGTACAACCATGGACAACAGATCATTTCTACCTCTTCTCACAATTCTTTTAAAAAAGAGACTGAAAAAGAAAAACCACTGAGGAGCTACTCATCTCATACAAGAATTTGTCACACTCTTTTGGGCTTCACAGCAGTTGTCATTTTTGGTGGTTTGTCTCACTAAAAACCTTTTAACAAAGCTTCTGGTCAAGGTTTTTAAGCTTTTAACCAAGCTTCTGGGAAATTCCAAACAATTACTTATAATCTGAGCTGTCATTCACAATTGTCTGACTTGCCTGTACCTCACACCACTGCCCTCTGAGATAAGGAACTGCCCATGGACAGTCTGCAGGCAGTTCCTTTTACTATTGGTCTGTGATTCTATTGGTCTGAATTTTTGTAGCCATTTTTGAGCTATTTACCCCTTAAGGCAGAACAAAATTCTGAGCTTTTCCTATTCCATTTTTAAAATCAAAAACCACAAAACATTTTCCTTAAACAGATGCTGAGAATAGTGTGAAGTTTTCATCTTCCTAACAGTCAAGTTAAACCATATTACCTGTTGCTCATAAAGTGCCTCACTCAGATGTTTAATTAGAGAGAGAAAAAAACAGTAAGTGGAGGCGATACTGGGTCCTAAAAGCAAAAATGAGTTAAGCTTCATAGTCAGATGACCTCTCCAGTTAAAAATGTTGGTTTTTTGTTCTTTTTTTTTTTTTCAGTTATTTAGACTCAACATAGTTGTCTCCTCTGCTTTACTTGTTTACTTTTTTTCCACTTCTTTCTTTACTTGCTTTCCCATTTGCCCACTTCCACATTTCCCAGTTGTTCAGCAGCTCTCGGGGCGTTTCAGAACATTTGGGCCAGGCAAATGTCTGAATGTCACACTTCAACCCTGGCAACAGAGGAGCCCTTCAGTGCCAGTACTGCTCTGAGAGAAGGCGGTGCAGGAGCACTGTGCTGCACCCCACACTGCCCCAGAGCAGAGCAGAGCAGGACCTTACCCAAACCCCTCCAGCGAGGTGTCGAACTCCACGAAGGCGGGTGTCACCGAGGAGCCGTGCAGCCTGATGTCATGGGGGGTGGTCATGGAGACCAAGCACTTCACCCTGGTGAGGGGCACCGTGCTGCCTTCTGCTGGCTTCAGCAGGCTCCTGCTGATGCGGTAGTGGCTGTCCTCCTGCAGGCTGAAGACGCTGTCAGAAGCCAGCCCCTCCGTTGAGGTGAGCATGCTGTCTGCAGGAGGAGTCAAGAAACAGCAGCATTGCAAGAGGGAGGCCTTTGCAGGCTCTTTATTTGGACTTTTCAGGTACAAGAGCTGAACTGCCCATCACGGCTGACTAGCTCAACCCCTGAGAAGATGAGGAGTTGGGAAGTTTTGCTCTTGTTATAAAAACATTGAACTGAGGCAGAGAGAGGAGCATCTTGCACAAGGTGTCACAGAAAGGCTGCAGGAAAGCAGAAAACTGGAGCCAAGAGAACATTCCACTACCCAACACTGGGAAAGTGCCAGTTTCACAGGGGCTCTGTCTCAGGTGACTCCTGCTGCCTGACTGAACAGGCAGGAGAGACTCACCTGGCACGTTTCTCAGCCACAGTAACTCTGAGCTAACTCTTACTTTCCCCATCTTTTAATTTCCCCTTTTAATGTCCTATTAAAAATAACTAACTAAAGCACTGGCTGAGAGAGAAGTTGAATCTCTCCTTTTCAGGAGAGACTTCTTCCTTTTCCTTTTCTCCTTTTTTTCCTTTCCTTTTCTCCTTTTCTTCCTTTCCTTTTCTTTTTCATCTTTTTTTTTTTTTTTTTTTTTTTTAAGGTGTGCCAATCTTTCCTTTTTTTTTTCACCTGGCACGTTTCTCAGCCACAGTAACTCTGAGCTAAAAGTTGCAGGGCTCTCAGTAAGAAGCAAGGCTTCAGTAAAACTTCCAAATTTCAACAAAACTTGTGGCATTCAGAAGCCAGCTTTGCCTTCTCTTTCCCAGGGTAAACACTTTTCAGACTCACATTTTCATAATCTTCATCTTTTACTTTCCCCATCTTTTAATTTCCCCTTTTAATGTCCTATTAAAAATAACTAACTAAAGCACTGGCTGAGAGAGAAGTTGAATCTCTCCTTTTCAGGAGAGACTTCTTCCTTTTCCTTTTCTCCTTTTTTTCCTTTCCTTTTCTCCTTTTCTTCCTTTCCTTTTCTTTTTCATCCTTATTTTTTTTTTTGTTCTTTTTTTAAGGTGATGCAAGTCTGTCCTTTTTCTTGAAAATTTTTAAGTTACTATGTGCTTATAATTCAATGTGTATTTACCACATACTATTAAAGATTTCAATTTTAACATCCTAGGAAAGTAAACATACTGAAACTGAGTAACAAGTAAAACCATAGTAAATATTAATCATGAATAATTACTGAATGCTTAAAAAGGGACTGCTGAACTTCAAATAATTCAGAGCAGGTATTCCAACTCAAATTCTACCTCTTTACAAGAGAAGTGGTTGTTAGACTGAGATCCTGCCAGATTAGGTAAATTGTGCTTTTTTTTCTTTTTAATTCTATTTCTTTGTCATTTCTAGTGATGCTAACACTGAGCTGGTTTCCTCAGCAGAAATAAATGCAATTATGAGTAAGTGTAGTAATTTCAGTTATTTTATCCAACACCTTACTGAACCCAGGAGAGACACTACACAGAATTAATGACATGTGTTGTGCACACATCAAAGTATCTGAAAAAAAATATTTTTCTTTTCTCCTGTCAAATAACTACAAACTCAGAATCTACTCAAGACTTAAAGCAAACCACTATCATATTTAATAGTTACTGTTCCTAAAACAAAAAATTATAATTACCTCTCTGGAAGTGTATTAAATACAAGTACATTTCCTCTGCTTTTACAACTTTTTCCAGTCAAACCATCCTGATGATTTCACACTCACACAAAGCCAGGGTGAAGTTTGGTTTTTATAGATGCTTATCTACAGATTTTACACCAGTTTGCAATTGGGGAATGTCAGCAAAGCATTCTTTAGGCAAATTTCTAGCACCTCAGCACCTACTTCTCATTTCTGGCTCAAAGCTCAGCGAGCTGGGTTTGTGCACTCTGTACTGCTTCAACAGCTTCTTGTCCCAGGCTCCACAGTTCAAAGGGTTTCCCAGGCGTAAGAATTCCCTGAGAAAGAGAACAAAACAAGTACTAACCATTTGGTCTATGGGCTTGCCTAGAATGGCACAAATTCTAATACCATTTTTTTAAAAAGACAGTAACTACCTGCAATTAGCACAACTTTTAACTAAGAAAATTAACAAACTAATGCAAGATTGCAAGGAACACATTTCATCCCTTTGAAACTATTCAAGTTTTGAACACATGCTCTCAAAAGTTGATGTTATTTTAACTTCTAAACCATTTTGATAATGCTCCCAATCCCCTTCTTTTCATTCCAAAGACTTGGCAGGAGGATGCTGGGTCCTGCAGGAGACCATCAGGATGCTCACTGATGCTGAACCCCTCTGGAGAGGCTGGACTGTGTCAGTGACCTCAGCTTATCTGGGTGTTGTGTTTGGGGGATCACTCCACAGCCATCAACATCTCTATCTACAGATAACCAACACCTCTGGATGTACAGCTGCTGAGGCTCCCAACGTCTGTGCTCAGGGAAGCTCCAGTCCCTGCAAGGTGACTACTTGCAAGTGCCCTCCTTGCAGAATCATTTGACACAGCTACACACCATGGAGGTGATCAAGCAGCTGCCCTGGCTGCAGGTCAGCCCCCAGTAATCCATAGGAAACAATAAAGTTCCTTCTGCCAGCTGAGATCACTGCATCACTGATGGTCTGGGTGGGAAGGAACCTTTAAAGATCATCTACCACCTCTGCTGTGGACTGAGACATCTTTCACTACAGCAGGCTGCTCAAAGCTCTGCCCAGCCTGACTTTGAACACTTCCAGGGAGGGAGCATCCACAGCTTCTCTGAGCAACACCTTCTGGTGTCTGACCACCCTCATTGCAGAGAATGGCTTCCTCATGTCCAATCTAAATCCCTCCTCTTTCAGTTTAAAACCCTTGCCTCTGGTCCTGTCACTACAAGCCCTGGTAAAAAGTCTCTCCCCCCTGGTCCAGTAAGTCTGCTTTTTACACTGAAAGGCCACAAGAAGGGCTCCTGGGGATCTAGCAAGCAATCAAAACCATCACACAACTGCACGGGTATTTAACAAATGGTTCAAAATATGCTCCCAATATATGCTTGTCTAGCACAAGCACATGAGCACAAATCCACTTGCAGCTCTGCATCCCCAGGTTTTTCCCAACACCTCTGCTATCACATTCCTGCATTTCCCTCACACAAACTGGAGTGCTAAATCAGACTGCTGACCCAAAGCTCTTCCAGCCTGAGGTGTCTAACATGGCACAGACAAGTCCCAGTACACACTCATGTTTCCTGAGGACCTCTCCAGGAACAGCATTTCTGATGGACTCTCAAGGTCTGCAGGAGGACAGCAAGTGTTTAACTTCAGTGCAATGTCTCTGAAAAAACCCACCACAACAGATTTCTCTGCTCCACACTTCTGCCTCCTGCCCCACCTCCCAGTTCCCCAGGTCTCCAGGATCACATGCTCACTAACAGAACCAGACTATTTAAGGACAAATAACCCGCGTGACCACCAGCACCCGGGGTCACTCGTGCTCTCCACCATCCCCAGGCATCCCCAGCGGGCTGGGGACAGCACAGGGAGCAGGGCTCAGCTCTGACCTGAGCACCATGGGCTGCAGGGCCTGGGAGGCCAGCCTCTCGAACATCCTCTGGAGGGGGGGGTGCAGGGCGTGCTCCTCGTCGGCCAGGGCGGCGCTGCAGCGCTGCAGGAGCCGCGCCTGCAGCCCGGCCTCGCACAGCACCTGCTGGTTCCTCTCCGAGTGCACCAGCGACTGCAGGACGTTGGCCACGGCCAGCTGCAGGTCCAGAGCGTGCTGCAAGGGAGAACCACACAGCCTGGTCAGCTGAGAAGGCAAGGAGGGGAAAGGCCTCCTGCCTACGCGTGAAAACAACACCACCCTTAGCAATAGAGACACAAATATCTAAATATGTGTGTGTGGGCACACGTGTGTGAAGAGACACTTCTACCTCTTTATGAAAAAGGATAATAAGTTATATGAAGGATTAGCATGACTGCTCCAAAGAAGAACAGTTCAGGTAGGGATAGTTAAACTAACCCCTCCTTTTCCCCTGCAGAATGTTTCAGGTACTTAGAGCGCATCAAGAACTTTAATTTTTGTGACTTCTAAGGTATTCCTAGTAAAACATAGGATCATAGAACCATACAGCTTGGAAAAGACCTTTTAAAAATAAATCCAGTATTGCCAATTCCACCACTGAACCGTGTTCCTAAGCACCACATTTACATGTCTCTTAAATACTTTTCGGGACAGCAATTCAAACACTTCCCTGGGCAGCCTGCTCTAATGCTCAAAAACCCCTTCTGTGAAGGAATTTTGCCCAACATCCAATCTAAACCTCCCCTGGCATAACTTGAGGGCACTGCCTCTCGCCCCATCACTTGTTACTTGGGCGACCAACAGGCACCTGGCTCCAGCCTCCCCTCAGGCAGCTGCAGAGTGACCAGGTCACCACTCAGCCTCCTCTTCTGATCAGGATCTGGCACTTGGCTGTGTTCAATCTCATACCACTGGGCTCAGCCCATGGGTGCAGCCTGTGCAGATCCCCCTGCAGAGCCCTCCTACCCCCCAGGAGATCTGGTGTCATCTGCAAACTTACTGAGGGTGCCCTCCATCCCCTCATCCAGACCACTGGTAAAGACACCAACCAGAACAGGCCTCAGGATGGAGCCCCAGGGAGCACCTTTACCAGCCACCAAGTGGGTGTAACACCATTCACCAGCACTCCTTGGGCCCCACCATCCAGCCATTTGGTTTTTTACCCAGCCAAGCTATGAGCAGCCAGTTTCTCCAGGAGACTGCTGTGGGAAAAGGTGTCCAAGGCTTTACAAAAGCCTAGGCAGACATCCACAGCCTTTCCCTCATCCACTGAGGCACTCATGGAAAGAGATCAAGTTAGTCAAGCAGGACATGCCTTCCACACACCCATGCTGCCTGGGCCTGATCACCTGGCTGCCCTGCACGTGCCATGGGGTGGCACTCAGGATGATCTGCTCCACGACCTTTCCTGGCACTGTGGTCAGACTGACAGGCCTGTAGCTCCTCAGGTTCTTCTTCTCACCCTTCTCTGGAGATGGGTGTCACATTTGCTCCTTGCCTGCCAACTGGGACCAACCTGGTTAGCTGGCACTGCTGGTAAATGATGGAACTTGGCTTGGTGAGCACTTCTGCCAGCTCCCTCAGTACCTTTGGGTGGATCCCATCTGGCCCCATAGACCTGTGCCTATGTGGTGCAACAGGCTGCTGCTTCCCCTTGGATTACAGGGACTTTGTTCTACTCCCCATAGTCATCACCTCTACAAGATTTAAGGCATATACAACAAAGCTGCCAAATTAATACACTGAAGACAGAAAGTCAACACTCTTGTCACCAGTGGAGGACTAGAAACAGGAATCAAGAGTAGTAATTCTTGTAAGCTTTCAGAATGTCCCTCCCAAAATGAAGTTTTCTTCAGGGAAGACTTCTCACACAAAAAATACTTACACAACTTCAAGACATGTCCAACAAACCCTTTGTATACAAACCCCCAGTAGAGGTTTTGTTTTGGGGACTGTACAAAGCAGACAGCACAACGTTGGAAGTGGAGCATATTCCAGGCACTGCAAACCACGTGTGTACACTGAGCTGTAACACCTCACCCCTGTCCTCCTCCCACTCTGCATTAACACCTGGCACAGCCAGGAAAATGGAATCTGGAAACTTATCCAATGGCCACTTCAGACACTTCTTTAAATTTACATCGTTGCAGGAGTTTAATGGGGACAAATAAAACCCAAGCTATGAAATGAAACAATTTCTACTGTGTCACCAGTTATTCACTCAATTCGTCAGTGACGCCATGTCATTTCTCAGCACAAGACCAGGACATCTTTGGTTTCCCCATCTCCCACAGCCACCCTCCCTCCCAGCCTCTCCCCAAGCTGAGGTGCAGCTTCCCCCACCTCTGGGTGTGTGGCTGAGCCCACGGAGGCCAGCAGGTCCAGCATGGCCAGCACGGCGCCCGGGTGGATGACGACGGCGTCGGAGCTCGGGGCGGGCGCGGGTCCTGTTTGGGGTTTCACATCAGCTAGGGTTTTCTGAGGGCAAACAGGAGGTGTTGAGACAGAATGATATGTGTGCCTGCAGGACAGAAAACACCCCGTGGTTACAACACCCATCTCTTAGGAGCTTTGCATTTTTTTTTAAACAGCTGTAAAGTCAAACTGCCTACAGACACTTCTGCCCTCTCTCTTCCCTCACTAGACCAAGTGCTTTCTTCTGCTCAAGCCTGTGGAACATGTTTCCCCAGAGACAACCTGAAAGGGTTTCAATTTCTCAGCTAAGCCTGAGCTCAGAACTCTTTTCCCCAGGTCCTGTGCAGTTTGAAGAACTGAGAAGTTACCTCCATTGCCTCCCTGTAAAGTTGAACAGAACTGCCTACAGACATTTCTGCCCTCTCCTTTCTCTTCCCTCACTAGACCAAGTGCTTTCTTCTGCTCAAGCCTGTTGAACATGTTTCCCCAGAGACAACCTGAAAGGGTTTCAATTTCTCAGCTAAGCCTGAGCTCAGAACTCTTTTCCCCAGGTCCTGTGCAGTTTGAAGAACTGAGAAGTTACCTCCATTGCCTCCCTCTTTTCATTCTCACGGTGGCAGCACACAGCAGCTGCAGCGTGCAAGCTGCCACTGCTCCTGGGCCAGGCAAGAAGTCACCTTGGAACACATTTCTCCCCATTTGCTTCTCATGAACAATTGATCATAAAACACACTATCACAAAGCTCTCGGCTATCTCTAACCAGGCTACTGGAACAGGGGTTTGGTCTTGGTGTACACTCATGCCACCAGTCCTCCTGCTCCCACTATTTCCACGACTGCTACAGCAATTTAGTTTTACACTAAGCTGCTTTAGCCTGATCCAGGGAAAAGAGGCTTTGACACACTGACTTAGAAGCAATCACTTGTGCTGAGGGCTGCAGATGTGCTTCCCATTGAAACTCAGGGGTATCAGCTTGGTGCTATTCTGTCAGCACAGGATTCAACACAAACAGCACAAGGTGCTTACTGAACATGCTTTCAAGATGGTACTTCAGAAGCAAGAGAAAACTCAAAAGGCTCATGTTCACCACAAAATAAACCAAACAAAAGCAAAGCCCAGCCATATTCTCACAGTATTTGTCACATATGCCTTTTTGTAAGAAGAAAGAAAATAAACTCTATGTAACAATTTTTCTTAGAGATCAAATATTACCTGACATTTTAAAAGAAGTGAATCAGCTAAAAATGGGTCTCTTCCTATCAAGTCAGCTGAAAGAAGCAACTCCTTTCTCCTCAGTGAGAGAGATCTATCTAATTTATTTTATTCTAGGACAAGCAGGACAGAGATGGGAGATGAGGAAGGCTGCAAGGATGATTCTGTCCTAAAGGCTTTGGAGGTTGCATCTTGAAAACACACACACATAAGAACCATCACTTGTTGGAGAAAATTGAGGCACTGGATTATTCAGCCTCAGAGAGGACACTGGGAAGTTCTTGTGCTGGCTGGAAAATGGGGTGGATAAAGAATACCCCAACAAAAGCACTCCCATTGAAAAGGCTCAGGGTAGATCAAAGCCAGCCTGGCACCTGAGCAATACCAGAGCACTCTCCAAAAGCAAGTTTCTGAAGAAAGATGATGTCACTGGTGCTTCACTCATTCAGCTAATACCTACAGCAAACATAAGTAGTCTGACAATTCTCTTGTAACCAACCACTAAGAAAAGAATTTGCCCAAATAAGTTTTTTCTGGAGTTTTTACAAGCTCTCTAACAATCAATTCCCTGAAGTTCCCCAGCAGACTCACTGATTGAAATGTCTGGCAGGTAAAGGAAGACTTCATTATCTCTTATAATTAAATGCAATTGAGTACATCAGAACAACTGGTGATAGAGAGATGTTATCTCAACCATTTTCTCTGTCTTAATGCAGAGACTGAAACATGGGCAGTTGTTCCTCGTGCATCCTGACAGCACTGCTCTTCATCTGGGGAAGAGAACTGCTACCTCTAGCCAAGGTCACCCTGAGCATCTCAATGCAAGTTTGACACAGTACAGTTTAAAGCCTAAATATCCATTTGTATTGAACAGTGCTCTTCAGGCTAGTGAAATTCCACCCCAGAAGATAGATTTGAAGATCAAGCTCCTGCCCACTTTTAAGCACAAATTTAACTTCCAGGCATCCTGATGCACACTATCACATCCACCTCATGTGCTAAACTGTGAGGTTATAACATGAGAGCAGAGGGAGAGCCTAACAAAACCTGAGGATTGCTCAGCATCACAAACAAGCACCTGCATGATCCTGGCCTCAGACAGCCTGGACTTCAACAGTACCACAGAATGTCAGGGGTTGAAGGGACCTCCAGAGATCATTGAGTCCAACCCCCCTGCCAGAGCAGGAGCATCTAGTCTAGGGCAGCAACAAACTGAAAAGGGGACACAGTCAGGACGAGGCAATTCTCTTTTCAGTCAGCAATCTAAGTAAAACTTGCATCCTTAAAGCATGTGTTATTCAAAGCTTTTCCCAAAATTTTAAACTACCTTCTGTATTTAATTTTCCCATGTAATTTGTTCTTGCATTAAAACAACAGGGGGAAAAAAATGACCACAACACAGTTCCAAAATATTTCTCTAGGCATGGAAAAGAAAAGAGGTGCTACAAATTCCTGCCAAAGCATCTGTGGAATGTTACAGGTCTATGGGGTGGTGCAGAACCTGCAATAAATTCATTGAGCCATGCTTATACATTCACTGTGCAATCTTTTTAAGGGAGAAGAAAGGAAGAAGTGGACTGTGGAAAAAGGCAGTGTATCAAAGATGATAGAGATCTGTCTAATTTAACAAAAAAATAAAACTGAAGAAAAATTTCAGCAAATTGTACAGTTAAGTACAACTCTTGGTAAGAATTATAACACCATTTGGAAATGGTCTACTTCTTTCTGGAAGAAGTACAAATTAGTGCATATCATTCCCCAAGAGTGATCACCCTCCAAACTGTGTAAAAACAGTACCTACAAGTACACAAAAGTAAAAGCTACATTACACTACTTCACCCTGCCAGGCCCAAATCATCCTTAAGAAAAAAGAAAAAAGGAGAACACCCTGTCAAGCTAAGGTTTTTTCTGCCAAATTTACAGCAATCAAACAACTCAAAGCTGTAGTTCTGGATTCAAACCACACAGGAGGGTGGAAGAACACTGCACTCCAGGCAACGGGGGACAGCCACGCACCAGCACCCCAAGGCATGCACTGGGAGAGCCCCACCTGGTCTGTTTTCACAAGAGGTAACACTTGGAGGGCACCACTCCTCTGGGAAATAAAGCTTTGAAATGCTTTGTGTGCACAGTGCCTGCTTGCTCTTTAAGCCAAACACCACGGGCTCTCCACAGGCACCTCTCTCAGGAGTCCAGCTGCAGAAAACCAGGCAACAGCAACAAGGGGAGACCCCAGGGAAGCAAAGTAAAGCAGACAGAAGACAATAAGAGAGGAGCAAACACTTCTCTCAGCAGAGTCAACGTGGGCAGAATCTGACTGCATCTGACATTTAAAAGGGGAAAAAGGGAAATCAAACAGTACTGGATACAAAGCCCAGGATGCCTGTTTTTGAGGGCAGGAGGATCCCAGCTACTGGCAGTGAATTCACTAGGAATGCCAAACATGGCACTGCCCAACCAGGAGAGAGCAGAGAGCTGCTCAGACTGACTTCTTGAACAAAGTCTGCTTCTTTAAACAAAAGGAACCTAGTATATTTATTAACATATGCACAGATCTATATTTTAATTCCCAGGCTGCATCAACTGGAACCTGAGCAGCCACGCCAGCCATGGCCTGGGAGAGCAGCACAATGTGGTAAGGAGAAATCCATAATGCTGGAGGGTTAATAGGGGACCCAAGCTGTAAAAAATGTCCACAGGAAAAGCTGTTTTCCCTTTAGTTTCTTCAGAGTAAATGAGAGGGGAAGGAGTTTGGCAGCCAAGGTTTTTCCCTGTGACCTGTGACTGCTCTGTTTGCTTCCTAACTGCCTCTGTGTTAGAAGAGACAGGAAACAGTCTTTCTGGCTTTTGGGGAAGGGGCCTAGTCCAAGGCAGTCCCTGCACAGCAGCCAGGCAGGACTTGGGTAGCAACACCCAGCAAGACAGAAAAGGGCTTCTCCTTACTACCCTGCTTGAGTACAGACATTTCCTTTCCAAGCAGTTTCCAGAAGCAGCTTTGGGTGCTTCCCTTTGTAAAGCTTTTCACATTCCAGACATGAAGCTTGATGGGCTGTTCTAAGCCATACACCAAGCAAGAATCAGCATGTTTTCCACACGTGGCACCTGCACCTTAGCCTGCCCACAGACTTCCAGATGTCTTTTTAGACTTCAGAAGCAAATCTCTGCCTAACCTGCACCTTCAGGTGACAAATGGCTGCCCCCTTCTCTGGGGACTCTGGGAAAAATCTTCTCATCATTGGCACACGCCTGTAATTCACAGTAAACTTTTTTTATTATTATTTTTTAAGAAAAAATAATCTACCAGACAGTAGCAGCTTGGGAGGGGACATGGGTGCTGTGATTTCTGAATTGTGACATTGGTGCTTTTTTTCCAACCCTTTCAATTTAATATGCTCCACATTTGGTATTCCAGCACTGACAGTTTCATTCTTTATTTTTTGTTCTGTACAATTACTAACAAAGGAGCACCTTAACAAGCATGAAAAGTACTTTTTCTTGAAAAACTAGTCAAGAAAAAAGAAAACCTGCTGTATTCATTGATCTACTCATATAGCCTGTACTTCTCTGAACTGCTCCTGAGAGTGAGATTTATCCTTCCCTTAGATCTTTTCTTATTCTAGACCTTATTTGTTTTTGAATCATTAAGTGCTTCAGGAGTCTGGACACATCTCTAATCTCACCTCTTAGCATCACTACCTAGGATTCACTGTGAAACCCCTTTACATTTATTTTACCCAGCAAACACAGCAGTGAAAATGCACATCTCAGAAAGAAACAGCATCTTGAGAGAAAAAAAATATTCCAAACTGAGAAAGGCAACAGTGAGAGTAAAATGAGAGGTGAGATGGAGTTCTGGTGGAAGGGTCGGTACCTTTTCCTGGACAAAGCTGGCGTACCCCAGGGAGAGGGGAGAGAAGTCTCATTTGTCAGGCAAGGAGGGATCTGCTCTGCACGACTACAGACAAAACAGACAGGGGTAGGACAGAGGTTAGAGAAGAAACCAGAGGCTGTGAGCTTGTTAGTTTTACAAAAGCAGCAGTACAATCCTCACTGGATCCATTCTCCAGGAACAAGGTGGGGGACAAAGGCTGCTGCAGCAGCACATGGCACCAGGCACACCCAGCCAGGCCCAGTGTGCTGTGCCCCGTGGCAGCACTCTGCAGTGCCTGCCCACTGCTCTGCAGACACCCACTGCTGGGCACACCAGCAAACCAGAACCCTGTCAGTGTGCAACAGCAGAAACTGAGAGGAGAAAGTGAAGCCACAGGAAATGAAGTATAACCAACAAGGGTAAGAAATAAAACCAACACAAACTTTACAAAGAATGATGATCAGAAAACTGAAGAAAGAAGGAAGAATGCAGTCACTGAAGATGACCAAAAAAAAGGAGCTTAAGGAGTTAGCTGATGTAACAAGACCATAAATGTACTTACCCACTGACTCCACACACCCTGCTCTTAGCAGTGTTGTAACTTCTGCAGTACACTCAACACCTTCTTAATCCACATTTGCCTCCCCCTAGCTGAAGGCTTTCATAAGACTTCAAGATGAGATCAAGTGAACTGGTTTCTGTACTCTGCTTTTACTGGGGTTTTTTGGTTTGGTTTGGGTTTTTTTTTGGCAGGGGGTTTGTTGATTTGTTAGGGTGGATTTTTTTAAAACAATAGAAAAGCAGTAAGAATTCCTGCTTTGGAGGCAAAATGTTCATTAACAAAACCATGAAGTTTGCACTGTCCTAGTCACCCAGTTTAAGCAAGCCTGACAAGCTGGTAGCTGCATTAACATCTCACCATACACAGCCACACTTCCAACACCTGGAAAATCAGACCCTGTGTTTGACTAACTAGGTGGCCCATCTTATTAGAACAGGGTCACATGCATTAAATAGCTGGGGTGCAGATGCCCCAAGGTCTCAGATACAGAGCAATAATTTACAGACTAAACTTTTAAAGAGCATGCCAATCCATCTAAAACAAGATGTCTAGTCTAGAAGTAATAGTAAAGTTCTCAGTAAGGAGAACAGGAGGCTCAGGGGAGACTTACTGCTCTCTACAGCTACCTGAAAGGTACTGAGGTGGGTGTCAGTCTGTTCTCTCAGGTAACAAGTGATAGGACAAGAGGAAATGGCCCCAAGTTGAACTGGTGAGGTTTAGAATGGACATCAGGAAAAATTTCTTCACCAAAAGGGTTATCCAGGCTGCCCAGGGAAGTGGCTGAGACACCATCCCTGGAGGCCTTTAAAAGCCTTGTAGATGTGGTGCTTAGGCACATGGTTTAGCAGTGGACTTGGCAGTGCTGGGCTTACAGTTGGACTTGATGAGCTTATGATTTTTTTTCCAACCTAAAGGATTCTATTATTCTAAATTTGCCATTATATTATCCAATTACTTACTTTAAAGTCTGGTATCAAAGGAAGCAGGACATTAAGGTGTGATCAGTTTTTCATCTGACTTACTGAAAGCATAAGAATCTAGTAGTTGTGTATGATAAAGCAACCAGGCAGCCTGCCTGTCAGCTACCAGGTCACTTCAACACATCAAATACAACCATAAACTGACATATTTATCTTAACTGCTGCCATGGCAGAAACATTCAACATCAGAGAGAACACTGCATAGCCTGGAGAACACCAGCAAGCTAAGTCAATATTTGGTCAGATGTCCACAGCTTACATTCCTCCCATTGGAGTGAAGGAACAAAGAAATAGATTTAAACAGAAATACAAAAGCTTGCAATGAACATTTGGAGAAAACTATTTTGGGAAACACTGAGGGGGGAGGAGGAAAGCAGGTGGACTGGGAAGAGGGAAAAAAGAAAAGCAAAGTTCATACCTGTCAAAAGAATCTGTTGCTACCTTGTAGAGGTAAATAAAAAGTTTGCTGCAGTGTCTTAGCGTAGGTGACACAGAATCCAGGGCTATTAGGTCATCCTCCAAAAGCTTTTGAAATAGTTGTGTGTTTGAAGGGAAGACGTTCAAGGGGCTTATTTTTCTCAAGTCTGAGAAGCAGCCAAGCAGTCGAACAGCATCTGCCAGCTTTTCATACTGGATCTCTGTTCTGAAGAAGTGAGAGTTGGCTGGCTCGTAGCGCATGGCCGCGGTCAGCGTGCAGAACACCGTGTGGAGCAGCTCAAACACCTGGTTCTGGTTCACTTTCTCCCAGCCGTTCTTGGGTGGTGAGCACAAAGATCTTTCCATAGCAACAAGTAAAGAGGTGACATACACAAATCCACCAACTTTCCTGAAAACCGTTCTTGTGCGGTGGCTCTCCCTCAGCACCAAAAGTAGGGCCTAGGAATGAAACAAGCAGAGAAGAGAGAGAGAGAGAGAGAGAGAGAGAGGGAAAAAAAAAAAGCAGCATTATAAACAGTTTGAAAAAGGTGGGAAGGTTTTGTCTGAGGTGCTAGCAAAATCCTCATGTCATCTGTCAGAACTGGGTGATGCCTGAGGTCTCCAGAAATCAGCTTTGTACTGCAAGAGTCCCCATCCTCAAGAGCTTACAAAATAGAGTAGGGGAAGAAGTAAAGCACTGCTCCTAATTTAAAAATAAGAAATTAAGGAAATAAAAAAAAACCCTACCAACAGATAACACCTGAGCAAGCCTAGAATGGAACCCAAAATCCCAAAGTAATTCCCTTAGGGATAAGGCAGAGAGTATAGCTATGGGAAAGGAATCTCCTCTGTCACCCTACTTCACAATTTCAAACAAGAGTGGGCCAACAACTGCCTGTAGCCATGAGAAACCTAAACCTTGGAGCATCCTAACAGCTCTCCCAGAAATCTACAATGCATAAGCAGCTGGCAATTATGAAGCCACAACAGCACTCGAGGGTAACAAAGGCAGCAAAGAATTAGCCAAAAATTCATTTTAGCCTTCCTCTATAATGGCACCCATAAATCTCTGACTTGAGTCAAGCTTGATTTCAACAGCTGCTGTTCAAAAATAAGCCTGAGAGATAAACAGAACTGGATAAAACATGACTTGCTGAACAAATACAAAGCCACAGCATAAACAGCAGATTCTACATCAGTATTAGAGAATAGTCATTGATCTGTGAAATCAGGGGGTGGGGAAGCCCATCCACCCAACCAACAACAAAAAAGCAGCATGTCACCCATATGTGAATATGGAATATAGAAGAAAAAGTGTCTCAAACAGAAAAATGTTACTGATACAGAAAAATAGACTAAGGGGTGAGGGGACTCTCCTATGACTATGAGTTTAGTTCTTCAGAACCAGGCTCTTCATTTTTTAGCACTCAGAAGATGGGTACTGAAATAGACTGTCAGTCCTTTGAGGGCAGTATCTCATCTTCTGCCAAAGCTGGAGGAACAGCAAGAGAGACACAACTGCACCCTTCTGGGCTGCCAGCTCCACAACCTCGAGCTCTGAGAACAGCAGCAGTGGCAAACACAGCTGCTCAGGTGAAGGGCAGAACCCCTGACTTCTGATCTTAAGAACCTTTCTCTCCCCTTAATTAGCATGAATGAGATATGCCCAAAGGCTACTGAAGACCTTGACAGACAAAACATGTCAAATGAATAATATTACTAGTTTTCCTTTCTGTCTTCTGGAATAATATGAAGCTGCTCATCTGCCAGACACATACTGCAGCTCCTTTAACAGAGCTGAATCTGCATGTCTCAGTTCTCTCAGGTAAGGCTCATTTACTTATTACTACTTGCCTCAGCTTTTCTACACTAAAATATGAATATTATGTCAATTGAAAAAAATAACATTACCTGTTCTGAGAATAAATTGTGGGTCTAGATTATCAGCCAAAAAGCCTAATGATAGAAAACAGAAGAAAGTCCTCTCTCTTCCTCCTCCACTCACAGCCTTACTTTCCTACCTTTCCACTGTTGTTGCTTAAGAAAGCAAGTTCTCCAGCTCTTTATCTTCTACTGTGGTCACTATGATTTAGATCTACATTAACTCATTGAGCATTTCTAATGAACACGTTGATAGTTAGTCTGCTGAAGGAAAATGCAGGCCAGCACTGAAAACAAACTTCCATGTCCCATGCTTGCTTTTCCTTCTCCATGTATTGTCATTATTTTTAACTGAACAATACTCCATCAGCAAAGATTCCCATAACTGCAGAGCCTCACTGCCTGTCCACTGAGGCTGACTGCAGGTGAGGATGCTAAAAACACACACTCACTTCACCCCTGATTCTGAAACCTGCCTTGGGCAGATGGAAGAAAACCAAAAAAAATGCATCAGTTGTGCACATGTCAGCTCCAGAGCATCCACACTCAGCAGCCAAACACCCTCCACCCAGCCCCCTCCTCGGCACTGCCTGTTTTGGCCCAGGGGCTGAGGGGTGAGCCCTGAGCAGTGCTGCACTCACCCGCAGGATGTCGGTTTTCAGCTGGAGCTCGGTGGGTGGAGCCGAGTGCATCAGTCCCAGCAGAGTGCCCATGTCATCTTCTCCACTGGGGGACAGCACCAGCTGCTGGATGACCATCAGGGCGTGCTGCCGGCACTGCGGGTACCTGACGATGTTGTGGACGCACCTCGCGCCACCGAACTCCCTGAAGATGCCTACACAGGGAGGGAGGGGGTGGGACAACCACATGAGCAACATGGGAAACACAACCAGGAAAAAAACATGAAAAGAAGAGAACATGTCAGGTGTTTATTCTCATTTCTACGGGTGTTCAGTCCGTGGGGCTAAACCCCTGCCATTTAATGATGCACTATTCTTGTCTCCTACCACAAACAAAACTCAAACAATATTCCCCTGACAAGATATTTCACTAAAGGAGTTGAGTACAAGCTTGAAGGTCAGTTCTAAACATTTCCTCAATAACTCTGTTCCTCCAGCAGTAGCCATTCTTTTCAAATTAGAGCTCTGTGATGAGCTGAGGCCTCTGCTGGGCTCTGGATACAGTGCCATGGGCTCACACCCCAGGCACCCTGCTCAGACTGCAACCACCACTTCGTTAAGACATGGCTTCTGAACTCCCCCTGTACAGCTCTGCCACACTCCTGAACTTGGAGAGCCACTGAGGAAATGAGGCCCTGGAACTCTGCAGAGTTCTCAGAAACGTCTGTGGCATCCTCCCACAGTCCTGACACACTTTACACCACCCTCTGCTGCTTCTTGGTACCGATGGCTTCCCAAGAGAGGTCAGGAACACCCTTCAACAGCAGCCAAGGACTGGTCACAAGTCACAGGGGCCCCACCACGGTCAGACCCAGAGCTCAGAGGAGCGAGGCTCAAGTACCACACACCCTGACACCACACAGAGTCCAGTTTCCAAGAGCCATGACCTGCTCCTGCTAAAATGTGAGGCAGCTCCAGCCCTTCAGAGGTGTTACTGTCACACACTCACACCACCTCCTCTCATTCATCCTTAGAAATCAAACAATCCCAAGTTGTTTTTTCTTCTGTTTGGAGTTTGCTTTTTTCCCTCAGTTTCTCCTTCTATGCCCCCACAGGTACCTCAAAGCCACTCCGTTCTGACTCACTTCTAATTCTGCATTTTCATACATGGCAAAACCAAATCTAAGCAATAAATGTCTCAGTGTGCAACCGATTCATGCAATTCATCTGTAATCTATACCAATCCCTCTCTCAAATCTCCTTATTTCAGCCTAATTCACTTCACTCTTGGCTCACCAATGAACAGATTCAACCAGTACATCAAAGATCATGTTTTTTTGTTTCTGTTGACAGGAGTGGTAGTCTGGTGGCCAAAAGGGCAGTGACAAAGGAGACACACCCCAACTTCAGTAAAGCTTCTGACAGAGTCACCCACAGGTTTCTCATAAGTAACCTGACAAAACAGTCCAAACACAACCACTGAGTGTGTAACTAACCCAAACACCAGCCTGGAGTAACCTCTGCTTTGCTGCAGTGCCCTTCTGCTCTGACCAAGGGCAGGCAGCCTCTGAAAGTCATTGGGAACCACAAGCTGAAATGCAGCAGAACTTGGACATGAGCACAGCAGTGAAATGGCACAGACAATACCAGAGGCCACTCCAGCACTGGGCCTAAATTTGAATTCAAAGATGTGCCCAGGCAAAAGCAGAAATCCAGCAGCTAACAGCTTTACATCATGAGCCCAGAGACTGATGTTTAAACAGTGAGCTGCCAACCAAACAGGGCACTTTTCAGGATTTCATTCTTAAGCATTTGACACAGACTGTAGTTCATCCTACTTAAATGAAAACAAAACCAAAACTGAAGGGAGGAAACATCAGTCAGAACTGAGAAAAAGGGAAAAAACACTGTTGAAATAAAGATGTTTCATGGCTTTCAAGGCCAGAAACTTCCTGGGTCCCTCGGGAGGGTGTGTGCTGCCCCTCACCTGCTCATTTTCTTCTTCATCTAACAGAACAGACAAAAAGGGTTTCAAATCAATTATACTTTCTCAATCTATTCCTTCAGGCTCCCAGAGACAGCTTTTACTGGTATGATGCACACACTGCCTGCTTCTGTGGCCCTGAATCCTGGCTAGTGAGGCACAATGTAAATCTGCCTGATTTAGAAAATGACTCTGCTAACAGAGCTCTGTTTATACAGGCTGTCTGGGAAGATGCCTTTAAACCCAAAGAGCCATCCTTCACTAAAGATGCAAGCTTTATTAATCACATTTAAGCAGACATGACACTGTCAGCATCGAAGTACAGACTAATTATATGCTTAAATTTTTCAATATACAACCTGTTTTACAAGCCCAACTACAAATGATTATAGTATTGTTAGAGTGATGGGCATGGTGGCTGCCTTCAGGTCAACAATAGCAAAGAAACTCAAGTTAAAAAGAAACACTATCTTGTAGTCCTTTACTTCACCAGCTCTAGTTCATGCTGCCTGTTCTGGTTTATGCCCTGGAAACACTTGATGGGAGAAAAGGTTTATCTCAGTGTGTTTGATAAATTGCCTGAAGATAGAAAGTCAGGAGTACTTTGCTTTCAGGGATGATTTTCTGATTTACTTTTTTTATGAATATTTTGACAGTGGTCTCTCTACTCACCTGCATTTGTGTTTGATCCTTGTAGTAGCACTGTCAAGGTCTCCATAACCAACAAAGCCAGCTGTTTTTGGTCCTCAAAGGAAGTGTTTCTTGAATCCCCTAAAAAATCATTTCAGAAGCTGGTCACAGTAAAAATCACCCTTTTCTAAGATGCTCCTTGGTGCTTCCCACCACCCCTTTTATTGCCTTTGCTTCCCCAGAGAACATGCAGCCTAACCATGTCCCAAGGCAAGTTCAAATTCAGGCTACACGTGCACTCCTGGAGAGCTTAATATGAGCTGCTGGACATGTTAGGTTCTGAAGACAGGAATTTAAACAGCAGCTGTCAAGCTCTGTGAGCCCAGTGGCTGACACTGCAGCTCCAGGTGTAGTTCTGCATCCCCAGATGGTGTTTCCTGAAGCCACAAAACCAAACCAGAGCTGAAGACTTCACAGGCTCTGCTCTTGTTCAGTGTTTGAAAAGAGAAACTCCACACAAAAGCATAGAGCTACATTCACATAATTACATTAATTAAATGTGCTGCTGATTCAATAGGTGTAACAGACTGAACACTGCAAGTGGCATCTCAAACACAGAGTAACACCTCAGAAAAAAATATTTTATTAAAATTGCTCTAATAAGAAGCAAGCCACAAGACAAGGGCACGTGCACCCAGGCAGCAGCCTGATCAGATGACAGCTTGGTCCTTTTATTTACAAGAACTGATGTGTTTTTCTATGGAGTTGCTGCCAAGGAGCCTTTCTAACTCTGATCAACTGCTGCCACTCACTAATGAAGCCTCAGACTAAAACAAGGTGAAACATCCAACAACTATGATTAACAGATAAGTGTCACTGATGCACACTAACTTGATTGCAGCTTGAATAAAGAATGTTAATTGAAAGCCAACAACAAAAGTAATTTGCCCTTTCTTTTGTTTCGAGTGTTTTTAAACACCTTTTTTTGGCTGAATGTATAATGTCTGTTTAAACCCCCCTGTGTTAATAAGCTGATCAGTTACTGGCTCCCTACCTGTTACACTCAGCCAGCAGTTTGCTGCTCAGAGATGGGGTAGTTTCTCCTGAAATTGTGCCCATTTGCCCCAAAAATGTCTCTGAGCAGGGCCTGGGAAGGACTTAGCCTGTGCCAGGCCCACTCTGTACCAGGCCAACTCATCCTGAGTTGAGTTGCCCTGGGGATGAGCTGAGTGGCCTGGCAACAAAGTGGCCCAGCAGGTCAGCTGAGGGCCAGGCCAACTCAGTGCTGAACCAAGACAAGGGGTGATGGTGCTTCACTGAAAGAGGGCAGATTTAGACTAGATAAGATGAACTTTTGTTTAACACTGATGGTGGTGAAACACTGGCCCAGTTTGCCCAGAGAGGTGGTAGAAGCCCCATCCCTGAAAACATTCAAGGTGCGGCTGGACTGGGGCTCCCTGCAGGGGGGTTGGACTGGATGAGCTTTAATGGTCCCTTCCAACCCAAACCAGTCTATGATTCCATGTATGTGCTCCCACCCTACCCAGGGACTCCTGCTCCTCTGAGAACATGTGGTCTCTGCCCTCCACGTACCAGCAGGTATGAAACACTCTCCATGTGAGGTTTTCTAGAAGGATGGATACTTAGATCTTCTCTAAATCAGCCTAATTCACTGGTTTAGTATCCATCACCACCCCCTTCACATGCACAACATCCTTTCATACTGAAAGCTCAATGAACTTCACTATCTGAACCCCAGACAAACAGATTGACTTGACTGGTTAGGTTGTGAGAGCTGTATATTGGCTCTTCTCAACCCAGAGAGTCTCTGGCCTTGGCTGAGTGGGCAGTAATTATTTGAATATTAAGTTATAAAAAGGAAGACAGATCCCACAGAAGTCCTGGACCACTTGGAAGCAGTATGTAAAGGAAAAAGTCTCTGTGTGCAGGTGTGCATCCCTGGCACTTGGTACCAGTGCCTGCTCTGCAGGCTAAGCAGCTATGCAGCTGATCTCTGAGAGAATTTAAAAAAAAAAAGACTGCAAACTTGGCCACAAACACTCATGAAGAGCTCAGCTATGCACTCTATAGTTCTTTTCCCCAAGCTGGGGCTAAACACAATGAAATACACAGTACCCTTTGTGAGGAAGAGCACAGACACTAAGCATTGCTCCTTCACTTGCTCTTTTCCTGATAAGTAACAAACATTAAACCAATATCTCAAAAGAATATTTTTAATGGAAAATACAGACTCCTACTATTTTGCATTCACACAGCATCTTTCATTAAATCCTGCCTCAAGCCTCTTGCATGACATTAGGAGAGAAGCAATTCCAGAGAGCTTTTAGGACAGCACAGAACTCCTGGCAGAACTCAGCCCTTGGGACACATGTTCAGACTCTGCTGTTGCTCCTCTTAAGTGCCAGCCTCCCCCATCCCCAGGCAAAGCCAAGACAGGGACTAGTAAAACAGAAGAGCACACACTACCTTGGTCATTCAGTGCCTGAGTGGGATCTTTCAGTAGGGCTGCATATTTATGGAGAAGATTCACCATCACCTCCAGAAGTCCCACTTCCCTGAAGACATCCTTGAAGATGTAGTCATGACGAGTGAATTTCAGGAGTGTCTTCATGGCAACGATGCTACACTGAAAAGAAGTGCTGGATTTTAACAGGATGCTCACACTGATCAGCTCTTTACAGGGTATGTAATTCAAGCTGAAGACGACGAATTCCAGCATCTCGAAGTATTTGGTCTGCACTTCTGGAAGTTTGGGAATTTTCTCTGCAAACTGAGACAAGGTGTGCTGGGATTCCAAAATGAAGTAGTTGGCATTGTCTGCCATGTAAATATTGGTGATGGCATCGAGGATGATTTGTGCTAGATAGTTTGTTTTTGCTCTCAGAAATGCATTCTGGAGGACTGAAAACGCTTGAATATTCCTCACACTGTGACCTAAATCAGGAAAGAAAATGGGATGGGAGGGAAAAGGAAAGAGAAGGTTTTAATCATTGTAAACAATGAGCAATGCTTATTAATTATTATCCATGTATTTTACTAAGCATGAACAAAATAACAGTGTGGATGTGTTTTATTAGAAGTGACTCTTCAAACAGCCTCTGCACGTTCACTCCTGTCCCAAACCCTACAAGCTGCTGCTCATTAAGATGGCACCTTCATCTTGGAAAGTGTTTACATAGGCACCCAAATGAAAGATCATTGCTTTAAAACAGGTAAGTAGGACTATTGTTAAGGTGTGCCACAGGATACAGAGTTCTGGGGACAAAAAGCCAGCTTTTGAAACTTCTGTAGGAACAATAGAAGTTATGGTAGACAAACCTCATAATGCAGAAAACAGCTAATGGTAATAATAACTTTTTTTAAACAGCAATCATGAGGGAGAACTTGAAACATTCTAAACAAAACATCTAGGATGCTCTAACAATAAAATTTTATTTTCAAGCAAGGTATAAGCAAAGAGTTAACTTGAGTTTAAAACCCTTTCATAAACAGCGAATCCTGATTGATTACATATGCTCTGTGGAATGCTACTATCTTCACTGTTTATAAACTAAGTAGTCCAATTTAAAAGTAGATCAAATTATCTTCATGTCTGGACTCATCCCCCTCCCTGCCAGTGCTTCTCTGGAAGGCAGCAGGGAGATTCCTTGAAAGCTAACACAGAGTCTTCACAAGCTTCACACAGAACATTAATGTTCCACTGTAAGTCACACTCATGTGTTTCCAAAAGGACATTTTCTACATGTTTTCTTTACACTGGAATATGTTGAAAAGGGGATCTAGAGCTTATCAAATGTGAAAGGAACACGGGCAGCCACAGACACAACTATTTACATTCTAACTGAGTATTAACAGTTGTTCCAGGCAATCACACAGATTAATAATTATCTTTGATTATTACAAGGACCTCTGAAGAAACCAAATCCTAACCAGCTCTTCAGAGCTCAACAACTAAAAAGATTTAAATAGAAGCAATTACGAAAAGGTGATTAGCTTAAGCAAAAATTAGTATATTATCAAAACATGGAGAAATTAAGCTCTGAGTGTGACTGTCACCTTCTTTCTCTGTTTTGTGCAAAAGGAAAACAATCCCCCTGAACAATGAACTCTCTCAATACCAGAGAAAGGAAGTCATTGTCCAAGGGATCTAGATATACAAGAGAAGCTGTGAAAGTGAATCCATCAGGCTCTAAATCTACAAATGTAACCCTGGCACAAAAAGTTTTCTTACATCCCAGGTATTACTAAATTCCATAAAAAGTCCAAGCAACAAACTAGCCCCACCGTCACTATGACATTCCAAACTCCTCAGTTACATACAAAACTTACCTCAATTTGAAGTTTATACACAGAATGGGAAAAATAAGCTTATTTTTACCAAAAACTTTCTCCTCTCAGGCTTCCTCAACCTTATCTCCATAGCCTAACTGACTGTGGTTGTGAGCACACCACAAATTTCACCACTCTGTGAACAGTGGTGGTGGAAGAACAGATTTCAGCTCACAGGTCACATTTGCCTAAGCTGACAAAAGCTAACAGAAAGCAAATCTGGCCCAATAAAAAATAAATTCAAACACCAGCCTCTCACATCAGTTTAGTAAGAGCAGCTTAAAACACCATCAATCAAATCAATGCATCTCTCCATTATGATGATCTGTTAAAATGTCCATGCAGAAGCTGTCAGCTCTGCACTGAGATGTCTGACTGAGCCTTTAGTCCTTGGAGGCAAAAGCTCTGCACTCCCTTCTTTGGGTACCAACCCAAACAGCACCTCTGAGACCAGCAGAACTAAGTATTTGATATGCAGCCTTTGCACAAGAGCCTGGACTCACCTGCCAACGTTTTGTGCAGTTTGCAGCTTCTCTCTATTTTGTTGTTTATATTTTGAAAACACAAAGTCAGAAGGCAGAGGGAGAAGTACAGCAGACTCACCTTTGCCTGCGGGCTGTGGGACTGCAAAGCCAGGCAGCAGGAAAGGAACTCCAGTGGTGACACCAGCTGGCTTCAACTCATTGACACCGTACGTCGTTAGGGAAGTTATCAAATTAACTAAGTCCTTCAAAGCATCCTTGGATTCCGTCTCTTTTGCCTGTTCTAACCTAAAGAGCATACAACAGATCAAGTTAGCAGCAGTAATTAATCTCAACTCAAGCCACTTTAATAAGATTTCTCTTCTGGTTTACCCTGTTAATTTGGAGACCACCCTTTCCCTGCCCTGTTCTGCAGTATTTGACATGTTCTCTCTTCACATTTCAGACTGTTAAGTCACTCAGAGATTATTTCTGAGAGCATACATTTATTTACATAGGTATTTACCTCCTAAATCTTTCCTTGAACTCAACAGTCTGTTATAAAGCAGCACAGACATGAAAACTGCTTTTTAAATCCTCTTACAAACATGAAGCTATTGAATAGGAAAATACCTAGACAGAATAAATCCCTAATTAACTTTCTAGATATCTGCCACTCTGAGAGTCAGTGTTCCATGCTAATCAAACGGTGTCTTGGTAAAGCCTAACACTTAGAAGCACACAAGGAAGGACCTTCATTAGAACTAGAGACCTTTGAACCCAAGAGGATGGAAACACTAATATCCTGTCACAACCATTGTTTCCCAACAACAACAAAACATCAGATCAAACCCTAAAAATTGACCTTGAACCCTAAAATAACCATAATTTTCATTCTACTTCACCAAAATTTAAACCATGTTTAATTATTTACTAACTCTATAGAGTCTATAGGTCTCAGGAGAAAGCTGGGGACCACAGTCTCCCATTTGCTCACACAATGCCAGCTCTGTTCTTCTTCTTGACAGTGAGAACCCTTAGAGGCAGTTCATTCTGCATCCTCCATCTCCTCACTCAGATGTGGCTGAACCTCCTTCTAACAGCCATAACAGAGGCACTTGGCTCACCTACTGCCCTCCCACTAGCCCTCCACATGGCCTGTGCATTCACACCCTTGTTGTGAAATGACATACTCACTCCTCTGGTCCTTAAAGACCTTCTGCAATTTCTCACTAAGTCACCTCCTTCACACACCCTTCTTCATTACCCGTTTCAAAGCCCTTCTTTGCAGCCTGACACCCAGCATCTCCCTGTCACCCCCCCGTGACAGCTCCCTTCCCCAGAGTGCCACTGAGCTGAACACGTCTCTGCCAGCAGGTCTGAGCCAAAACATGTCCAGGGAGAACCCCTTACTCTTGTTCATCACCCAGCAACACGCAGGCTTGTGCATGATGATAGTTTTTTGAAACAGATTGCTTTGATTTGAAGCTCAAATAAACTAAAACTTGAAAGAAACAGCAAGAGAGATGGCCACAGAAACAGCAGTCATGACTTGAACCAGCTTCCACCTCCTCTACAATGCACAAATAAATACACCTCAGGCTGGTGTGCAGTGTTCACCTTGTCCCAGGCACTTCTGCAAGAGTCTGAGCAAGTTTTCTAGAGCCCCCCTGGGAGGAAATGAGAATAATTCATTCCCACACTTCTAACCTTTAGTGATGCCAGCTGAAGAACCCAGGTGCTCTGCTCCTTCAGTCAGACATGCAGACCTCTAGCACCCCTATATCCCTGTCACGTATCCCCCAGTCTTTGATTTAAAAGATGAGCAAGCTCAGGAAAGAGTTTGTTTAAAACACTTGATCTACAGAGGATCACCTCTGTAGCTGAAAATGGAATTGCTAATGACAGCAGGTTCCCCTCAAACTCCACCTAAACTCTGGCTGGCAGTTTCTGGAGAACAGAGGAGTTTGAATTACATGGCTGTGAATGAATGCATCAGGGAACAGAACATACTCAAACCCACCATTTTTACCAACAGGTTCCAGCTTTAGTGGCACCAAAGATAATTTATGAATAATTTTAGCCACAATTTTGCAGTTAACTGAGGAATTTCAAATGCTGTGTCTGTGTCTGGCACCCATTTAAAACAAACAAACAAAAATCCTCAAAACAAACTACCTAGTAGAAAATTTAGTTCAAATATTTGGGTGCCAAAACTTAGCATCCTAGCCCCCAAAATGAATGGCTTGAAAGAGGGGAGACAACACCACTGACATTTCTCACTCCTGGCCATTACAGCACTGCCCCCAAGCACTCTGACCCAGGCACACTTCAGAAGGTGTGTAACACACCCAGCTTCCAGCAGCTAGGCACACTTCTCCAGAACCTCATCTCCAAACAAAGCAAGGAAGACTGACTGTAGATTGTACACCAATAATGCAGCAGACACTGATTTGCTGACTGAAAAAGAAAAGATTAAAGTTTCTTTCATGGCAAGAAAGCAAATCAGGGGTGGATCATGCAACCACGTTTTGTTCAGGCAGGCACCTTCATTACCATACTTGGTGATACATTAACAGCACCTTTAATATAAAATATACATTTTTAAAAGATACATAGACACATTGATTCTCTAGCAGAGTGAGAGTTGGCTCCACCCAGCCAAAAATGTCTCTTCAGTACTAAGAGGGATGTCTCCAACACCAAGCAGCACACACCACATTTACCTACCCAACTTTTCATTACAATAGTGTGACAAAACCAAAGCAAACCCTCACCAAACCCCAAAATTACCAGCTGCAGACAAAATTTTGTTTTCTGAATTCTTTCCAAATTTTTAGTACTAGTTCATTTTAAGCATCTGCTTTCTTAGCACATACAGAAACATTTAATAATAAAGCAGCACTGATGAATTAAAATGTTGAAAAATATAGTTTCATAAATGGAGAGAGGCACATAATTCAATGGTTTGGTCCACATACCTTCATTTCAAAATAACCTCTAACCACTTATTTGTTGAAATCTCTTCACCTGTTCTTTACTAAGAAAGCTTTTCAGCAAGAGCTCACAGTGATCTGTCTGCATTCCTTCAAGCACTTGTGCATACCTGAGAAGGAGGTCACAGAGGAAGTTGTATCCTTGCCATATCCTAAAATCATCCAACAACGTCTGGGACACATCACTGGAGTCTTTGAGGAAACAAGAAAGCCCAGCAAACATCTCAACTATTTCTAGGGGAGAGAGGTCATCAGACTGCTGCATGTTCTGGACACACGTGGACAAACATTCTTTTTCTGAAAAGAATTGCAATGAAGAAATTTAGGATTTTACTGGCAGTCATCACAGCAAGAGTCATGGTCACTGCTATTTAACTCTCTTATCACAGAGCACTTGAAGATGAGTAGGATTCTCAGGTGGCTTTGGGTTTGAACCCTAAGCTCTCTTTGCCAACCTCTTCCTGCCTTTCATGATCTTCACTCTTGTAAGGAGGAGCCTCTGTGCATGAGTACTGGTTTTTTACCTAAAAAGGTTTCACCAGATAACTCAGCAGAATAAAAAGACAAATACAACAATTGTAAATAATTCTAAACATTTTTTTTTCTTTTAAAATACAAAATTATACAAAACACAGACTTAAACTGTTACTGATCTGGGAAAAAGCCCTACACATAACCCTTTACACCACATCTTCCTAGTGCTACTCTGGCTGGCAATGCTTTGGCTGGCACATTTGCTTGCCTGATAACCTGATCAGAGACAGCTCCTCACATCCTGCAGAGCTCTCACCCTCCATCAGGTCATCGGCCAACTTACAAAAACCTGTCCCAAAGGTTTTTGAACAGCCCCAACTCCCTCAGCCT